ATAAATTCATGAAATTTGTAGGAAAAAAAAAATATTCACTGTGATTGAATTTCTATCGAAGAAGAGATATTTTATATTAATATGTATTAATATGTATTCGTGGAATATTTCTAAAGGATCGATTCGAAAGAGCAAAATACAAAAATTAATATATAAAATTTTCAATTAGATTTATTTATTGAATCACAAACAATTAAAGTTTACTTTAGACGAAGCAAAATAGAAATAAAATAAGATCTATCTCCATAATTACATCAGTTATTTAATTTGCTTCAATTGCTTGTAACTTAATTTTTATACTTATTTTGATTTCTATCAACTTTTCAAATATATCCACGAATTTATACAACATATACAACTCTATACATTGCATTAAACTTCAGAAATATTGATAATCATAAAATGTGTCATTTTTTCCAGGAACGTGAGATATGTATTTTATTTTTTGATGTAATGAAAACCTCATAATAATAATAATAAATAAAAAAAAAACCAAACGAAAAAGTTTGAGGAATTTTATGTGTAATATGTTAACATAAAAATAATTACATTTACATAGAATTTTTTATTTTTTTACTTTTTCTAAACGAAATCAAAATCAAACTATTCAAATAGTAATATGAAACATAATATGTTATTTTGAAGAAAAATGAGTTATGAAAACAATATTTATCATAATTAGATGAACAATTTATTTCTGGATAATAATTAATATGATAAATAAGTTTTGAAAAATTTTAATTCTATTACTATCGACCAACAATCTTATATTATCTTATATTTATCACGAATATTTCAAATCATCATTGATACGCTAAAAATATACGATTACGATACTTTTCTGTTACTTCTCTGTTTTTTTTTTTTAAAAACTCATAAAATAAATTGAAATAAAACAAAGGAAAGAAGATAATTTTTTAAACAAAATTATCAACAAAATAATCGAAAGACTGTTTCAATTTTAATCATTGTCAAAACCTATCGATACCACGCGTACACCAAAAAACGTTGGTGTATCGAGTTTCCATTCTATATTCCCGTATTCTCGTAGCCTCCTCCCATAGGTTACGGATCATAAACCAATTCGAAATGGAGCCGGAGGGATGTTTAATCGATTCGCATGACGATTTTAGCCGGTAGGGTTAACTGTGCGCCGCTAATTTAGACTGCAACTAGGTCTGTTTTGACTGCGGAACGGGAACAAAGAGGCCACTGTTAAGTACGCCATGCATTGTGAACGTCGACCTAAATACTCCGATTTTCCCCCTCGGTAACGAGCCAAGGCTTAGTCCCTAGTTCGTATTTCGTTTTCACGAAAGTTAGCCGGTTTGTTCTCTGTCCTCGCGGGCTGAGTTGCGAGAATTCTTTCCGTCGAATTGATCCGAAATATTGCGGTGTAAAGCTAAGCTCGAGCCTTAATTAACTCTCCATCGTTGGTCGCGATTAATTAATTGGTGGATGAGTAATTAAATGCATTGAAGACTTGCTCCGTTCCTTGAAGGGAAGTTGAAATTTAATTTAATAATCAAGATTATTGGATTTTTTGTTTTCTTTTAGAAATGAGTATAATATTGTGATAATAAATAAATTTTGTCTAATTTTCAAACTGGCATATATTTTTATCCCATAAAAGTTATAATTGTAATTTGTTTTATTATTAGTATTATGAAAAATGAAAACAATCAAGGTATAATTTTTAATTTTTTCTGTTATCATTATACTCTTCTTTTAACACTTTCTGGACGAATACAGCAGTACAGTAGCATTAAAGTTACAATTAAATAATAAATAATATAAAATATTGAAGAATATGAAGAAATATATATCCTTGGCCTATCAAGAAGAAAAGGACTGAAATGTTATGTCATCTAATATTAATTTAATATTTCTGTAAAAGGAAGTAATTTATTAATAAATTAATAGAAACTAAGTTTAAATTATATATTAATTTATTATATAAATTAAATTTCGGGGAATGAACAAATTTACTATGATAATTTATTATGATAGCATTATTGCACTGCCTCATCTATAAACCAAGATAATCTTTCTGATTTAATCAACTGATTCATTAATGATAATGCAAATTCAGTAAACTATCTCATCCTAATACATATTTAATAGATAGATTTCATGAAGTTGATTAAGCACTTTATTATTATAAACTATTCAGAATCCGAAATTTGACGTTATTTATCATATAAATTGATTATTCACAGCTCTAATAATTTGCATTCGTTAGTTAACCGTTAACACTCGAAATTTATAAGGTAGATAAAAGTCGAAGTTTCGGAATATTTGATTGGTTTAAGCGGATACGTATCCTTTGGTCCAAGAAGTTGCTAAAGTCATTCGATTTTCTGGGTCAGAGTTTTCCAAACTTACTTTTCAAAATGAACTTTACATCGTACTTTTAGTTTGACCTATACGATCTCCATGAAGATTTATAGACGGACTTCTCCAACTCCAACAATCAAATCATTGATATTACTTTCGTGAAGTTCAATCTCGTGTACGATTTGCTCTTTTAGTGATGAGATAATATTACTTATTACTTTTATGAATGGAAATCATTTAAAAAAAATATTAATTATGCAATAATTAGAGATGTTTTTCATAAATTTGATAAATTAAAAAGAAAATTTACTTTCCTTAAATTATAAGATTTAGTATTGTATCGTAATCAAAAAAAAAGCGTCTATGAAATTTTTTTTTAATAAATCATTTTTAATTAGTTTCTAATCATTGTTGTTATTCATTTTTATTTCATTGTGTTTAAATAATTTCCAATTATTGGATAAAGAATATTTATTTTTTTAATAATTTTTATTCGTTGTTATTTAAAATTTTGTAATAATGAATAACAATTGTTCAATTATTTTGAAAAAAAAATCTTTTTGTTGTTATGTGTCCCAGTAATAAAGACGATGTTTTATTTATTATTCTCTTTCCCTTATTTAAATTAAATGCAACAAGTTGTATCCGCAGGGACAAGAACATTCTTTAATTAAGCTTTGTTTCTCTTTTCTGCTTTTTTTTTTTTTTTTTTTTAGCAAGCTCCCGTTTCTTTTCATGCAAATAACTTTCGGTTTCGTTATTTTGCTGTTACAATGCGAACCAAGTTCCTGAATAGTTTGAATTCTTTACGTAGTTAAATAGCTGTGTATTTTTATTTTGAAAAAAATAAATATTTTCTTTATGAAGAATAAAGCCTTTCACAATATTCAAACGTTTGTTTATTAATTTGTTTGTCAATAAATCTGTTTCGTTTTTTATTATTCACTACATATAGAAAATATTTAAATAACGATTACGTATATTATTTATATTGCATACGAAAACATTCTGTTTTCGCGAATTAAATGTAAATTTATTTTCAAATTATTTTTTAAAACTCCACGTGATGTGATGATATAAAGAGTATTTATAACAATGTATCCTATTTATTTTGCACTCATTTCTTTCTTTCATGATACGCAAATGCATTGAAAAATTCTTTGTGTTGCATACGTTTCCTTGGATTAATTATAGATTTAAAATAGAAAAGAAATCTAATATTTATGAAATTAATGATTTTTAGATACGCGTTCAACAATAATTTTTATAAATATACTCTAATATGAGATAAATTTAAATCTCTTTCACTGTTTCATAAATAAATTATATATATATAATTTAATCAATATTACAAATAACTAATACAAATTACAATGAACAATTTTTAAATTATTGATTTATTATATAGAAAGTATAGTTGAATTGAAGTTTATAAATAATATATTAAATTGTTTAATTTTCTTCAATTGAAAAAATTTCGAAAAAGTTTAACAACAAAACGAGAGACAAGATAAAATTTATTGATAAAATAACAATTTTCCTGCACGCATTATACGAATTTTTTAGTTGCGAAAAATAATCGTGGAACAAGCCTATTGTTTCGTAGACGTGACTTGTATAGATTTTTACGCGCAGGGTGTATTTTCCCGAAAGCCAGAAAACTCGGAGTGAATTATAACTTTACATCGTAGAAACGCTCGAGGGTTTTAAAGCGAATACGTGTAAGCTTAAAAGAGCAATTGAAAATATTCCGATGCATACCAAGCATGTATAAACATGCCAACGTAAATTGTGGAAGGAAATAAGGACAAAACTACAGATAGACACGAACTTGTAACTGAAGTTTCAAGAATGTATATTTACGTTGGCTTATTCACGATTTCTTTTATTTTTAATTTAGTTTTTTCTTTAAACGAGAATAAATTTATTGTTTATTTGATAAAATATGCCATATATAGTGTTCAAAGAATGAAAATTTTACAGTTTCTTTATGAATAAATGATCAGTTTATTTTAAAACTACACCAAATAAATCTTTATATCTGTTGTAATATTTTGATTTATATTCTATACATTATTGATTTGTTTATAATAAAGAAACGAAACCTGAATATTCTGCATTAAATTGTTCCAAAAATTCTTTTCATTATTTGCACATATAGCGATCATGATTTGAGAAATATACTGAAATCATAATATTAATGTAATTAGAAAATTAATAAGTTGTACGTTGATTGGATTACAGATTTCTATTAAATAGTATCAAATTTAATGACTCTCCATAAAAAGATTCTTTCAATTTACATTAAATTAAAATACCTTTTTTCAACTAATTCACTAATTAACTAACTCAAAATTATTTTAGAAAAGTAGAATGGATATTCTAGAGAAATGAAATTCAGATACTAAGATATTTTGAACATATTTTACAAATAATAAAATATCACAATAAATGAGATTCGTTATTTTAGAGAAATATTATATCTACAGTATAATATAAGAAAGAAAAAGTGAAAAAAACTTTTATTTGTCAATCAAATATTTCTATTGAATTAAATTATAAAACAAAAGTTTCATCAACAAAGAAGTATATATTTTATTTGTAAATAAAATTGAAAATAATCAAAGAATATGGACAAAAAAAAAAGGCAATAGACAAGATAATCACGTACAAACCAGTATATTAATTAAATACAACTTTATACATTAATGCAGTACCACAACAACAATAATAGTAATATAGAAATAATGTTCAGTTATAACGCAACTGTAATGTAAATTTTCCATAATTTCTAACTCTGCTCAACGATGCCATCATACTATATCCATTAAATATAAGATAATTCAGAAACTAAGTCAATTTTAGATGAAAAGCAACACCTCGACGTAACCAATTATCGTGTTCCTCTCTGGGACACCCAACCGGAAGTGAGCAAATTAATGCATCCCTTTGCGAATTCGCGTAAACTGGAATATTAACGATATCTTTTACGCCGTTTCCTAAATCATAATCTATTTTATCCCTCGCTTTATCCTCGCTGCAATTTTCGGGTAAGAAGGCAATTTGGCAAGTCGGCGCGGTTGCAATGGCAGCTGCATTCGCGTCTAAATCCTTCAAAGTGCCATCTTCTATTACGGCTCCTGAAATATAAAATATTTTGTCTTTTATTATTATTATTATTCAAGTAAATCTCCTCCCCTATTCTTGCCTAATCTCAGTGTCTCTACACGTAATATTATAAATTACTTAGATTAATATATCTTTTAGAAAATATATATTTTATTTTTGAATTGATGGAATCATCATAATGGTGATCATGCGATATAAGCAAAATATTATTGAAAAAGACAAAGATGGACATAGAGAAAACGAAAATATAAAATAAAAATTGTTGAAATGGAATTAAGGAAACGAAATATGATCCCGAATTACGAGAAATCCTCGTAGACATTTATTAAAAAATATAACATAGTTCTATTTAATTATTGAATTATTTAATTCTCCTTTAATTTAATTGAGAGATCTGTCTGGAACGTTTAGATTAATTTTTTTTTCAGATTAATCGAATGAAATTACCAGATATTAAAAGTCCCTCGACGAGCAACGATATCTTCCAATCGTCGTTCCTCTCATTTTCGAACCAGTTCACGCAAAGACGGAGATTCTCCATGGGCTGTCGCGTTTCGCGTGCAGTGTGCTGTTTAAGAACAGTCAAAAATGCCCGGGGCCTTGCCAATCGCGACATGTCGACGACAGGTGAAAATTCGGACTCCAAGAACGCCTCCAAGGCTTGATGCCTAAGCAACAGTCCTTTAACGAAAGGCAAAATCTCGTTTGGACCGTACTTCCAGTTTTCCATCCAATGCTCGGGTGTCTGGAAATTGAAGATGCTAACTGGCGCTTGATTCTCTAACTTTAACCCAGTTACGAAGTGAGAATTACTGTAAACGAGGATAGTTTCCAAGTTTTGATACTAAGAATGGATTATAAGCGACACACGCTTTATATTATGCGCTTAACTTACAGCAAACTAACTTTCGACGTGAACCTGGTTCAAAGTAAATTATAATAATAATTAGTATAAAATCTGAGATAAAATGATCAAAGTATATTTTGATATTTTGATATAATAATTTTGAGATGGAGTTAATTATTTATTTGTTATTACGAAAAAATATTTTAAATAATTGTTAGAAAGAACGATCAAGTTTTTTACCTTGTTATCCTCGAAACGTGTTGATTCGACATCAACACGAATAAGATTCAATGTTTTCCTGGTCAAATTCATTTCATCGATAAAGAAATTTTTCAACGGATTTTTATTCTTCTCTTGTTCCACTTTCGATGACCCAAATATCGAACCATTGCGATCGATCAATTCTTTCAAATCCCTTTGAATTTTCATTTCCATTTTCTTGCTATTCTTGTCGTCGTTACCAGACACTTTGATTAAAACACCTATCGATAATTTTATGAAAATTTATCTGATCCTTTGATCTTTCATTAACCAGTAAAAGGTTTAATACAAAAAAGGATAATGTCATAATGACAGCGTTAAGAGATATTGAAGCTTTTATGAAAAATAATGTTTCAAAAAAATTAGAATCAAGTAGAATTTTTAACGTAAACTTATTCTTCTTCTTTTTTTTTCTGTTCAAATTTAAAAATTGAATTTGAAAAAAAGAAGCTTTACACAAAAATTGTTTTTATTGCAAGATATTTTATGTAATTATTTTATTTGACAAATCTACTAATGAAATAGGATAATAGATAATATATTCTCTCTTGTACGGAAATTAAAATAAATAAGGAGAACAATCATTTGCATATGTAGTTGTAACAGAATTGGAATTTCACAACATAGTTATAAATGAATTAATAAAAATCTCATTTTTCGACATTTCGTAATATATATAATAGCCACTTTTCCCTTTCAATTATTAATCATATCTCATGTACTTATTTTTTAATATATTCGAAACCGCAAAAATCAAAAGGAGTTGCCGATATTGATTTCCGATAGATGGAAAAAACAATAGCAAGAGGATGAAAAATGTAATAAAATCCAAAACACATTGATTGAACAATACCTTTACTACTAAACGCGTATGCAAAACGAAATCTACTTTTCATTTAAAAAATTAAATTAAATCGTCTTATTAATAGTTCTCAATAATATCACGGATAAGAGATTAAAATGTTATCCATACAATAAGTTGCAATAAAAACAAACAGACTTTATCGAAAAGATCATACTGACTCGAGTCACTCATCAGAAAATTTTAATAGTAATTCGAATAAAAAAAAAAATAGAAATTATCCATAAGGATCCAGTCACAACTCTATCTCGAATGGATTGCAACGAACCTTTTAGATGCAACAATGCCGCCTCAGCCGCGGTCCTCTCCCAAGCCCTGTGCGCGTTCGCGGGCAATCCGAAGCACTCTTTGGGCGAGTCGTTGTCCGAAACGTGTTCCAAAGCTTTGGCCACGTCCTCGAACGAGTCGTCGGCCACTCTGAGAGCACCGGCCAACTCCCTGCGCCCTTCGAACACCTCGCACGACCAAACGTCTCGAACGATCGAGCACAGCGCCCTCGCGTCGCAATCGTCTTGAAGGCGGCCGCCATAAATGGCCACGTCCAACAATCCTCTGCCCGCCTGCCAATTTCCATCCTTGCCTCCCCTCCTCGCCTCCATCTTCTTCACTACCAACTCGTAAGCGGCTTCGAGATCCGACTCGTTCCACTCGTACGATCTGATCCAACCCTGGGGTATGAACTTTCGCCTTTCCTGAAGGGTGGCGTGCAGCCAGGACAGCAGAAGGCTGCCAGGCACGTTCATGGCGTTCCCGTGCTTTTGATGGAGCTGTTGGAGGGAACGTTTCACGTTCCTCTTCACACCCTCGGGTGGTTCGTAGGCGAGCTTCAGGCAAAGACCAGCCAGACTCGGATAGAATCCCAGGCATTCTTCGGTGGTTAACCAGATCCTTGTTGCGGGATTCTTGTTGGCCGTGCACGTGGCTGATCGTAGCAGGCTCTCCAATCGGGGAAGCCAGTTGAGGGCGAGATGCAGGTTGCTGAGGAGGATCCAGTTTCCGTTTCTGTTTGGTGAATAAGAGGTTCGCTAAATTTTCAAACTTTAAAAACTTTTAATCTTAAAATTCAAATTTTTGAAATTAATATTATTATGTTGTATACTTTCCGAATTTTTATTCAACAATTTAAGCAATGTTAAATTATTTATTATAAAAAGAATACTTGCATTGATATTATTTTGATATTAATGCAGCTCAATGTATGTACAAAATACATGAGAAATATTAGGAGAGAAATTGTAAAACAAAATCAAAATAAAAGAAATAGTAGAAGTAACAAAGAAAAAATTAAACGTGAAAGACAGAAAGAAAAATAACGCGAAGCTTGATAATTTTTTTCACAATACGTTATTAGAGAATTATTCCTCTTATCTAAATAATATTGAAATATGTAATGAAACATGGAATACAGGATGCACCATTGAAAAGATCCTTCAAGTCAGGATTCATCTTATACCTCTGGTACGGTACAATTCGTGAGAATAATGAGACTGATACTGGTACATTTACATAGAAATTCCTTATGCTCTATTAAGACTCAAAGGCATTGTTCCACGTTTGTTGATGAAAATTGAATCCGGCGGTTATAAGCTGAGTAGGATCTTCTGACTAGGATTATGACATAAATTTATTATACGTAATTGTGAATTGAAGTGGAAAATTTGCTAAAGAGCTGTTGGAATACTATTACAAATGTTTGGTCATAACATTTGAATTAAAAACGAATAAAAGTTTAATCTGGAAGGATAAAATTAAAATCTTAAGAAAAATACAACAGAAGATTTGTATAGAAAAATAACGAAAAATATTTCTTAGACAATTAATGTGATTTTAAGTGGAATGATTATCAATTTATACTGAATTATCATTTAAAAAAAAAAAATCTGACCAAAAGATTTATACATATTATCTTATTTGAACATTTTTTTAAATATTCAATAGCAATGAATATTTAAATAAAAAGATTATTAAAAATTTTGTTTATCGATACAATTTATCTTACGAAAATGAATAAATATTAATAAAATGTCATTTTATTTATAAATATTCAATTTATTATCGATTGTTATAAATTGTATCAACAATCCCGGCACACTTTCTCTATATTTATTTATGCACAAGATTTTAAGTATTAAAATAGAAATTTTTATCGTAAACAAAATTTAAAATATAATATTAATTAATTAATATTTTAAATTATCGATACGAAATATAACTATATAGGATTGAATTTGATCAATTACCAGTGTTAATCGTAGAATGTTAATTCACAGAAATAAATTTAAATAGCATTTCCATAATAATGATGCGATTACCGGCAAGCGTTCTCCAACGCAAGTTCAGCTTGGACAACTTGACCCTGTCCCAGGGACACCTCGACAAATCCTGTGGTGGATGCGACACGATTATTCGCTAATGCCCTCAACTCGGAACCAGGATCAGCTCCTGGTGACAGAAGCAGCAATACAGGATACGTGGCCTCGTGCTCGGCTACTTTCCTCAGTGACCAATGTGGTGGCGCCAAATCCTTCACCCCTTAACAAACGATGATGCAAAAAAAGAAGTGAGGAAAAAGTGGGTTGGTATTTTCAATGATACGAGCAATAATCGATTTCTCTTTTTCTAACAACGAGAAAAGGACACTTTTTATCAATAAGGATAATCGATATTTGTTTTTTTAAATTGCTAATATTAAATTGCTAATTAAGGAATGATTTAAAAATTCAATTTTTATCGATGATTTTGATCATTTCGATGAATCGATTACATATTTATTAATGTTAAAATACCTAAATTAAATTATACCTAATACTTCCGCGGCCAATTTCGACAACGCTGTATGCAAATAATCCGGGCGAAGAGTCTTGATAATTAAAATCTTTTGGAACGTGGTCAAATTTCTTTCAGCGTAGATATTACTGACGTCCTTTAACCACGATGGCGTCATCCTCGCCGCTATCTACGAGAGACAGGACGTGAAATTATTTCTTTTTACAAAAACTGAAAATAATATAAAAGCAAAATATCCATTATGCGAATATCCATATATTTTTTTAAGAAAATAATTATATCGAATCTAAGAAATTAACGGTACAAAGAACGGTTTTTATTATAAAATTGGCTCAGATTTTTTAACATAAAAGATCATTACCATTAATTTTCTTATCCTTTTGGTTTTTTTTAATATCGACGACTATTATAAATTTCTCAATATTACATTCCCTTAGCCAATTCTATAACACCTTAACTGCTTTGCTATTGATTTTTTAAGTACTTTCTGACATCAATAATTAGCATCAATAATTACGAATATATACGAGTATGTGAATACGGTCAAAGTTAAAGTTTATTTCCATTTTTGCCGGAGATTGAGAATGTGCGATTGGAATAACGGAATAACGTCCGGATATTAGGGATAATAGAGGTTCTTACTATACTATAGTAGTTCAAAAGTGGATTCATTAGAAACTTACTTGCGGAAATGCTAAAGCTAAAGTTCGAACCGATAGGCGACGTTCCTCGGGCACCCAATCAGGTACTTTGTAATCGGAATCTTCATCGTCGTTTAATGGAATTTCTCCTAACAAGAAATTTCTCTCAACGTCTGGCACGGAATTTAATGAAAGCGCCAATTGTAATGCGACTGGCAATCGATGTTCCCTATACACGGCTTTCGAGCAATAATGGAGGGACAATTGTATTAATCTGTAATGAAAGTTCTTATATTGCGTAATTAAATAATAATCGAGTAATAATAAATTATGTAATTTTATTAATTTCGAACGAAGAATCGATACATATGTGTATTCAGCCTTTTTTTTTTTTTTTAATTCAAAAAGCGCAATGAATATTAATATAAATAAATAAATCGATAATTATCGTTGTGATGATATTAATGCCACGATAATGTATTAATGTAAGTAAATTAATTATTGGTTATATAAAATAACAAATTAAACCTAAAAAAAAAATAGAGGAAACGATATTAAATTTTTATCTCGTTTCAATATCTCAATGGATTGTCAAGAGGAAGCCTATTATATTTATCAATATATATAGAAATGTGATCTAGTGATCTATATACTTTTCTGATTTGCTGTTTGGTCAATAAGATCATATAAGAATAAAAAGTCGAAGAATAAATGGATTATTCTTTTCTTTACTTTTCTTACTAGATAATGTCTAGAAGAAAAAAAAAATAGAAAAAAAAATAAGTTTTTGTCAAGGGATATAATTTTATGCTTTTAATAACTTTTCATTTCATTAGCCGAATATTACTATTTTTGAAGTTGTAGTGATTTAAATTTTGATTAAGGTTTGATCAAATTTTAAGATAATTTAGAAATTAATAAGATCTTATAGCAATATGATATAGAATTTTAAATTGAAATGTTTAATTGCAAACGAACTTATCTATCTTAATCTAAATTAAAAAAATATCACGTAAATAATTTTTTGAATGTTTACCAACCGTTTTTCGACCAATTTTTCTTGCTCCTTTTTATCTTGAGACAGTATCGTTTTTCTATAATCCTCCGCCTCCAAATAAATATCAGTGAAAGCTTCTGCGGAGAATACGTACAATGGATTCAATGCAGTTAGGCCTCTCACAATTTTATACAAGTTTGCTGCGAATTTGGCCAATCTCTCATGCTCGTTGGCCCTTCTGTAAACAAGTTTACAAAACAAAGACTGGAATGGAAATTAAAAAAACTTCATTGCAAACATCCTCTCGTAAATTTTTTTCCCGGACCTTGTTTTGCGGCCAGAGAACATTTATAAAGAGACATTACTTCATGAATTTTGAGAATTAAAAAAACTTTCACGCGAAATATGCTATGCATAAAGTGTTCCACGATGAAACCAAAAAACTTCAAATTATTTGGAAAATTATTTTCAATGAAAAAATTTTGCGACCGATAATTTCAAAAATATTTTATTCAGCCAGGAAAAAAAATAATTTAAATATGAAACATACTTGTACGTATATGATTGACTGACAAGTACGAAAATGCAATTTTTTATCTTGAATTGATACTCAAAAATATTTTATACTTTTAAATTTTCCTTATTAAAATCTTTCGTTATAAATAAAATTGCAAATAATTATGACTCTAAAACTATTTTCTGGCGTCTTTAAGAATCAAGACGGGGTTTAAGACGATCACATCGTTTGTTTTGTTGAAATTTTTTTTAAATAATTTTGCAAATATAATTTTTCCACTCAACGTTTAAGATATGTATATGTTATACATATTTCTTAACGAAGTTCCACCGACCTGGTAACGTCTTCCAAGCTTCGTCGACTTTCCTCAAGGGCCAGAGCTATTTCTTTAGCTTTCGATTGAGTGGCTTCCAAAGACGACAAAAGCCCTCCCTGGGATCCTTCAGACTCCTGAAGGAGGTCTTGACCTCTGGCGGTGGCCAGCTGCGCCAACAGATCCAATCTTGCTGTGTCTCGTTCCCCTGATAATTTTTCCTCGCGTTCCAACGCCTCCCTCCGTTGCGACGCGAGCTTCGGTGTCTCCTTCAACAGAACCTGCCCCCTCCCCACGGTTATGAAGTAATTAATCTTCAATTTCAATATTTTACTTCTCAACGAACTTTGAACGATCACCGTAAAATTCTCCAATCTTAATCTTTTTTCCAAGCATCTCTCTCTCTCTTTCTCTCTCTGTTTTGTTATTTTAACTTAATTTTTTTTTTTATTTTTAATACTATATGAAAAGAAATCCATCACGAGGATGTGGTAAGAGTAGAGAAAATATTAAATTTGTATATGATGATTTATGAATGGAAATATTCACATAATTGTAATGATTTTTAGGTTATGTATTATATATTTTACAAATATAATTATTACTTGGATAATTAAGATATGCTTTACAAATGTAGTTGTTATTTTTTTGTTTCATACAATTTTATAGATCATAATAAGAAATATTGAGAATGAGAAAATCTAAAGAAAATTTAAATTATATTGCTACTTTTAAAATGTTGTATCAGGAATAATTGAATATGCTTAGAATTCGATTGATGATAATATGTTTCATGATTCAGTATTCTCCTTTGAAATATATATTTTCCTTCTTTTACAATTAATTAATAAATGTCCCTAAACTATATTAGTTTTTTATTCTTCGAGATATATTGAAATATTTAATTGTTTTCTTTGAAATGAAGTTACAACATTCATTTAAATCCATTCTATTAATTTTTTCTTTTTTAGAATTGACATTTTATACTATGCATTAATTTATAATGGAAAAAGTACGAATTTGAGTTAAGAATATGAGACACCTCTATACAATATTAATAATTTCGACAATGATTAAGTTAAAACATAGTTAAAATATTTTCCCATAACTTTTTTTTAATAAATATTCCGACCATAATAAAAGAAACAGAAAAGTCACACTATAATAATCGTTTTATAATATGATATTATACATTAATATACTAGTTTTAGAATATTAATAAAGATTCGAAAAGAGAAGAAGATAAAAAATTGATTAATAAAAATATAATTATGGATTTATCATGATTCAGACGCAATTCCAGAAAGTAAAATTTACACATACAATTATTGTGAAATAAAACAAATTGTTCTTCTAATTATTATCTCTACATTATTATTCTATAAGTTTATAAAAAATTTGAAAAAATTAAAACTTCTACATCCATAACATTTATGCAATGTATAAAAACATTAAAACGTTTAATGCATACATACTAATCTACAAATTAAAAATTTCCTCACCTTCTCGACGAATCTTTCCGCCAGGCTCTTGCTACCGGCTCCAAGAGCGATTTTAAACAAAACTGCATCTACTTCTTTAGGGAAGCCATCCAATTTGTCTCGTCTGGTGGCCAAGAAAAGTTTGAAGCCCTGAGGGGCTGGCAAAGTTCTTTCCCCGAGTTTCAAAGGACGTCTACGTAGCAACGGTAATAAGATCGATGGAAATTCAACTATTTCCTCGACCAGTAACGGTTTCCCAAATCGTACAGCCAACTCTAACGTTGTTAAGAATTTTCCATCCTCGGGCTTCGTGATCTCGATTCTCGAGCCGGTGTTATTTTTCAACCACGAGACCGCAACACCGGATGGATCCACGAATATTGGAACGAGCGGGCCTCTGAGGGCGCAGGAAGCGCCAACCAGACTTCCGGTATCGACTGGTAAACCTTGAGCTCGCCACAACAGCCTTTCTCTTTCGGTGATCAGAAGATCGATGGCTGATTTTTTCCACTTGTCGTCTTTTCCAGTATCCTGCATTTGAGTATTATTTGCATTAGATGTCATCGTTATAAGAAAAATTATAGTTAATAGTATAAAAATTCTAATAATATGTGTTACTTTGAAACTAATTATGCCTAAGCTATTGCTATTACCCGTGTGTTACACATGCTCTATATTTTATTATTATAAATTTTGAATGATCTTTCTTTAAAAAAACTCTTAAAAAAATAGGTGATATTTTATATTTTGTATTTTGTTTACATATAACATAATATAGAATCAGCTAGAATAATTTGTCTATAAAAATTTATTTATGCATTCTAGAATGTTAAAATGATGACAATAAAGTGGATTCATAGGAAAAATGAAATAATGGAACGGAACAAAGTCAAAATTGCGTTATTCTTCAGCGCTATAAATTTTAAATTTCGCACGGATGATTATTTGGATGTACTCGTAATTCAATCGATGTCGGAAACAAGACTGGAAATCTTGCGTATGAGTGTGGCATCCGTTTCCCTGATGAAGCTAGCAGTAACGTCGACGAAACGTTGGATTACCACATAGATACTCTATTAATCGAAAACTTTAGATCTTTAGAATTGAATTTAGAATTTTATGAAATGTATTTAATGAATAGAAAAATGTTGTATACTATATATGCGGCAAAACTATAATAATATTTAAAATAATAATAATAATATCTTTTTCTTTCAATTCTGATTTTCTTTTCACGTAGATGATATTTCTCATACGAAGCAAGAACGAATGAATTGAAAACCTAAAATATTAGGAATACAGAAGAACATGTATATAATGAAAATTTCATTAACTGTACACATTTGAACTTATTAATTTAATTTCATTTGATTGTACAAATTTGATGAGACAAACTTACTCACCTCATAAACCAATAACGACGCAACTTTAGCAGCCTCGACATCCAATCTTTGTTTCCTGCTGTTCAATTCTTCCAATTGTTCCTGCCAATTACGATGCTCTGTATCCAGTTTTTGCAACAGAGCTCGAGCAGTAGCTAGTCTCGCCTCTGTTGTCTCGGCACGTAGCTGAAGAGCAGCCGCACCCCTCGAGTGCTCGGCGAGTTGCTCTTGAAGCTGTGCCACGCGACTTTCTACGGTGTTGAGCCCAGCCGCAAGCTTTCCAATCTGAGCTTCGGCCGCCGACAAGCGTCTGAAGTGTGGTGCATAATTTAAACGCAATAATAATAAAATCATCGTCAAAGTCAAGTATTGAAAAAATATCTAGTTGAAGAGGAAAAATGATGAAACAATAAGGTAATTTTCTTTTTCCATAAAATGATTTTAAAGTTTTTATAATTTAGTGAGATATGTTAATTTGCTTGTTGCTTGAAATTAATAATATCTTCATCAAATCTATCTTAATTATTCTAATTGATAGGATTGTAGAAAGATAATAATGTAATTTTTTTATGTTAATCGTCACATAATATCATTTTAATCTAATAAGCATCGTGTTCCTTCAACAAGTTAAGTAGAGTTATTCAATCATTAGCAAAACCATCAAGCATCAAACACATCGTAAACAAGAATGTTTAGTTATGTTTTCTAATATAACAAATGTTGTTATATAAATGTTTATGATATTTTGAATCAAAATTCCCTTCTTAAAAATATAAGAAAGAAAATTCTTCTTATATTAAAAATCATTGATTGTAATTAAAAATTTCATTCAGATTTATAATTCATATAATAAATACCGAATTCATATAATTCAATTTTATTTTAATTAAACTCTTAATTAACCATAAAATGTATCTTTTATCTTATAATTTAATAAAAATCATCGGACCAAGAAATATTATTTAATTTCGTTTAAAACTTCATAGGTATGAATCAGTCAAAATAAAATTGTAAAGAGATGAAACCATTCAAGAATCATATTTTCCCAAAATATGCTAGGATGATTTATAAGAAGATTAAATAAGGCAATCTAATTCACACACGATGTTGAAAGAAAACTATTCGATATTTATGTAGCGCATTATACAATTGAATAAAAAAGTCTCATAGTAAAGTAAACATATCAGTGTTTACAAATCATTTTCTGAATTCAATTCTCCATCGATGAATGACTTAACGAATCCAACATATTTGGCAAATAATTCGACAGAGATCTTGAATTTTCGAAAAAAATTTTAGTAAATTTGTAAAAAAAAGAATATTAAGCAAAATATGTACAAAACACACGGAACGTATATAAATTTCAAGAAGCCAATATTAATCTTGATGATCAAAACGATTACACATTTCCACAGAAATGATTGAGTTTTCGACTGACTAACTTAGAGCTTTGATATGACATGCAATATAAGGAAAAAATTAATTGTCAATGCGAGTCAATCCTTGTTATTATTATTAAACTTAATATTCTTAAAAATTAATATCTTCGAAAATCGATAACATACTCGGCCAATTGTCGCTGCTCCCTCTCGAGAGGCGCGACTTGCTGAAGGACCTGGCCGTATTGAAGATTAGCGAGGACCCAGGCCGCCAAAGGGGCCGCGGCTACCGAGGCTCGTTTCGCGGTTTTCTCCTCGAAGCTCTCCGGCCGCTCCTTGACCAACTTGGCAACAGCCTCCAGACTCGACGGTGTGCTTCTTCTCGCGTCCCACGTTCTAAATCGAGCAAAGAGACATTACTCAATTTTTGGAAACTTCGTTGAATGGTTTCTGATGAAACGATGAGACTCTTTATTTAAGAATCGTACGATCGAGTCTGATTCCATTTAAGTGAGTGCCTTCAAGCATGAATAGAAGAAGAATATTTAATATATTTAAAAAAATGTTGTAAAAGAATAATTACAAATAAGAAAGAAAATAAAGATCTAGTTTTCATTAAAATAATACGTTTTGATTAACTTAATGAAATAATAAATTGAATTTCCAAGAATTAAATTGATAGAAAATTTAGATTATAGAAGAAAATTCTAATAATTTATCGGCAATTGGTAAATTATTGTGCAAGGGTATGCGAATTTAATATAATGAATAAAGGAGTAATAATGAAACTGTAGAAGTATCAACAATTTTAATCGTCAAATTGTTTTACCTTATCTCATCCTTAATACCACGTTTCGCCAAAAAAGTTTTCATGCTGTTCCAAGACGTGTCTTTTATGCCCATTAATCGAAGGACACCCTCGAGAACATCTCTCACAGGTGCTGGAGGTGCTCTCAAAGAACGAACTTCCGCTAATGCGTCAGCGCTGATGCCAGCTACTGCTTGTGCCGCTTGCTCCACTAAGGGCTCCACCTTTCCTAATTCTTCCTCGATATCGGCCTATATTATAAGACGAATTCGATTTATTTATCATAGTGAGGGACAAAAATTCATTCGTACATGTAATATAAATTTAATTGTGATAAATCTAAAATTTTTAATTTAATCTTTGCAATTCTTTTGTTTTGCATTAATTTCGATGAAATTTTACGTATGTTTTAAATTTTTGTTATAAATGTAGCTAAAAAAGTTAAAGAAAAACGTGACTTTTTATCTTTTTATTATATATATAACATCTTAAAAAAATTCAAGTCGTTTGATCTCATTTTCAAAAAATGAATATATACTATATGTGTACATGTTGGTTATATAATTTGAAATATTTGAATATAAATTTCATAATATAAAAATTACCATTTTGATTGACAAAGTAAATGGAACATCGATATTTTATTCTCTAAAAAAAAAAATGTGAATAACATGTATGAATAATATTTAATATATAAATACCAACTGTGTGATTTATTCACCTTTCTACGAGCTAGTTCCGCACTTTCTAGTTCAGTTTCAGCTTTTAAATTAGCCATTTCTCCCCTTTGTCCCGTAGCACCTCTCATCGTAGCTGTGATTTGTTCGAGGGCTGCGTTGGCACGACCTTGTTCTACCTAAGAAATCGAGAATTATTATATTTGATACAAGATGTTTCAACAACAACTTAAAAACTTTACGCAAATCAAATTCAAACATAAATCAATCAAAGAATAAATTTAAACAATAAATGGTACATAATATTCTTTGAAAAAAAAATTTAGAATTTTGTAAACATAATGTGCAATTCGCTCAAAGTGATAAAAATATAAATATATGTTGTCAAGACCAATCATCCTAATTAATATTGTGTTCAGGTTAATTTTAATCAAATTTATTATTAAAAATTTAAACGAATTTTTATTTAATTTTAATTTGATGATATTAAATTTAGAGTTGACGAAAAATTCGCTCAATTTCTGATTTCTTAACTGACTTTTTAATAAACAACAATTTAAATCAATCCAATCCAAAAATTCTTTTTATTAATAACTTTTCAATAGAAAGTGATTTAACAAAATTCTTTTTCAAAATATATAATATCTATATTTGAAATTCTAAAATAAAAATATTTCCATAACTCTAATCGTCCTTGCATAGATGCCACACCTAATAATAATAATACCAGTATCTACGAAAAGTCAAGTTATCCCAAACATCGTCTACACCCTCAAGTAACTCGACTTGCAACGTATTAACATATACCTCCAACTCCTGACGCTGTTTCGAAACTTCGTCCTCTAGTTTAGCCACTTGTTCTCCAGCTTCCTTCAATTTCCCTACGCCAGCTTCGAGGCTGTTAATTTTTGCTCCACCTCCTCGCTCCAAGTCACGTGCAGGTGCTTCCACGTGTGCAGAAGGGCGAAGAATCGAGCCGGTGCTCGTTGCTGCCTTGGCGCTTCAAGATGAGCCTTGACCAATTCCTTGATACCGGCCAACGTCTCTTCGGAGTCTTCGATATCGAGGCCGTTCTGCTGACAGGCTATTCGGTTAAAGGCCCTTCCCAACACCACCATTCGCTGCCGAGACCTGCTCCTATCGATACGCAGTGTCTGTGCAGACCTGAACGTGATAACCAAGGTGAACGAAGCTCTGCTGTGTCCACCATTATGGCCACTCGAAGATATTTTCGCAGACCTATGGAATTGTACGGGATCGTTGATAATAGAAAAATATTCGAGAGAATAGAAAAGAAGAAATTTTTGATAAGTCATATTTCAAATTATTGATGGTGCCAAAAGATTTTTCAGATAATTCTTGAATTATTTCGAGCAGCATGTATAATATGATGTAAAACAGTTTTTTCTTAAGTAGAGAATAGTAAAGGATATGAAGATCGATTTCGTATTGTTGAATATATTGTAATAATATTTTGTAATAAAAATTATTAGTTGTACAAGTTAAATTTTGTACAACTTATTTCATGAAAATATGATATCTTATATACTTTCCTTACTTCTCAAATAATGAATTTTATATGTTTAATTATTGAATAAAAATAAAATTAAACACTTTCTACATGTCCAATTAGGTAAAAAGTCATAAATATTTTAGAAGATATTTAAAATGCTGCATAGCTACTGACGAATTTAATGATATATAATATTTCCATCTGATCTTAATTATTTTTAATTTTTTAATTGAAATTCCGCATAGCATATCAATCAATCAAAAATAATTTCGAAGATTTATAAAATTGTATTTTCCAGAATATTATTATATAATTAACGTGTAATCGATTTGAACGTGTCAATGTTTGAACCAGAGTGATAAATGTTGACATTTCGATGCGAACGAAGAGTTTCATAATTACCCAATGTTTTAGAAGGAATATTGATGTAGTCCTCAAACACGAATAATGAACGCATAATGTTTAAAGAGTTTCGAACGCAATAACCAAGTTTGAGTATCCAAGATTATGATCAATATAATTTTACACATTCATCGTATTTCTTTTGATATATCGAATACAATTTTCATTGTGTACTCGTTGGATTTTTCTTGTGAATACAATTTTCACATTCGAGTTAAGATTATAGAAATTCCTCTACAAATTGATGTTTCCTTGAAAGAACGAGTTAAAAAGTTATGATACGACAGGAATAAATAAATCTTGATACAATGATACATGACAGATATTAAAATCACGATGTGAACAAAGGATGCATGATTATCCGATATTTTATTTGAAAATGGAATATTGATGTAACATTCTTAGCCCAAGAATAATGGACTCTCGAAATTGAAATATTCATATATTGCGTTGCAATAACGAACGAATATAATCAGCAACTCGTTTCTTCATGCAGATTTCACTTCTGCAAATAATTTTATGTTAATTGCCGCCAGACAATTCCCCTAATTTGTATCCATTGTTGTGACGAAATTGAAATCGCGAAACAACAAAGTATGTATGCACAGACAAACAACAATGAAGGAAAATTAATAAAAGTTGATAAAATAGAGTTGTATAATTGTCACTTCTCGTTTCCTCGTTAAAAAACTTTCCGTATTACGTACGATAATAGAGGTATTGTTCCAACATGCCAGAAAAATCTTCCTTCTTGCCACGTCAGCCAATGGCGCTATTAACCCGTCGAGCTCCTCCACTGTAAATAATCCAGGAAGTTCGCCTCTCGACACTATTGCGCTGGCCAAAACAGCCAATCCAGCTTCCCTCATATGATGTTCCTCCAACAAAAGTAAAGTCGGCTCACCATCGATTCCAGCAGCCTGAACTGCACTTTTCATCGACATTCGACCACGGCCTGAAAGGATGGTCTCGTTTTAGTCTCAGTTCTGAAGAAATTAAACTTCTGGAAAAATTGCTGAACGCTATATCAATACTTATGAAATAAAATAGTTCAAAATATTATAAATAAAATTTGATGGATCGAGTTGAATTCATTTTTTAAAATTGATTCAATTCAATTTTGAATTTTGAAAATTTATTGGATGTTAAATATGTTGTAGCATATGTCTCATTTTTAGCTTGAGTTAATTATTTTGTTAATTATTAATTTCATAAAAATGATTATTAATAATGTAACGCGTCACATGAATAATGTATTAATAATTTAAATATCTATGAACGTGGGATATACTGCATATAAATTTTAAATCAATTTTATCGCTTAACAGAATTCAATACAGAGATTTCGAAATACATATGCAATACCAGGTCCCGAGTCTATCAAACGAAGCGAAGAAAACGTGGCGGCGAGTCTCACTGCCGATTTTCTTCCAGCGCCGGGCCGTCCAATCAGAATCACACCTCGTAGATTCGTTCCAAAGGTCCAACTTAAACCTTATCGAATATTTAAAAAAATTCACAACATGAACATCGAATAATTGTATATTTGTCTACACGAATATTTTAATAAAAATCATTAAATTTTATAATAAAATAATATAAGACAAATAATTATTCTAATAAATTGAATAAAGTGGCTTCAATTGAAAGCCACTTATTATATCGATTCGTCAATTTATTTCGTTCAAGTCTTCGGACAAAAATGAATACCTTTCGAATTAAATTATAAAATTGAAATGGGATTTATAATCGTAAACCGATAATTGCACGATAAAAGACGTTAAGTTTCACGAATGCAATCGTTAAGCAATCTACGATGTAGATCAAGATGAAACAATCAGTGGATTAAAAGCCCGTTTGGAAATAAGGTTAATGTTAAGTTAATTTAAGGTGCTTACTAGCCACCGTGTGCAACAGGTGAACGAATCGATGCATGCACCGGATCACCTTCCCTTGCGCATCTCGCTGCAGCGTTAATTATCTCGTTCCGCCATTGATCCTGGTCTAAAAGCAGTAGTCCATTGTTCCCTCGTTTCCATATATATACCTCGCTTCCGGTCACTATAGAATTTGCAGACTTCGACAGGATTATGGATTCCCAACGAGACTGATCTTTGGATGTTAGCCTTGTGAGAAATTTAAAAATAACTAGTTTAGATTATATATTTAAGAAGATTTTCAATGAAATGAAAAGAAAATTTAATGAATATTTTTTTGTTTTATTCGTTACAGATTATATAATTCTTATGAAAAATTGTAGAAAGGAGAAAGTGAGAATGAAAGAATATCTCTTTAGATTTGATTAAAGTAGTCGTTTCTATCATGTAGAATATTTTGCAATGTTTTCAACAAAGACACTAATGTTACATTCTTCATGTTATTTGAGAAATGATAAAAATTAATATTGCTTCCTTTCTCCTCTATGAAGTCTTTAAAAAAAAAAAATATCAAAAAAAGAAATATAAATTAATATTGGTTATTCTATGGAATATTAATATACTCTTTTGAAGGATTTATTCTAAAGAATGAGAACTAATACAAAGTTGATATAAAAAATATCAATTGAGACATATTTATTAAATTATAAATAATTTTTGTGATTTTTGTATAGTATTTTTAATCTCGATACTCTAAAAAATATATTAACATTTTTTAATGTTCTCTAATATTTTTTGAATTGTTATCCTCCTTCTATTCTATAATTAATTTGCAACTCTTCTATAATTCCATGTATAATTGAAATTAACATCGACCAATTTATATTTTTAGACAACAAAAAGAAACAGTTAAAAATTATTTGTTGCATTTAATAAAAATTGATTTATGATATTCATACATTAAACCATTGATATTTTGACTTTTAATATTTAAATAATATTTTATGATAAAAATTTATTATATACCATTTAATAGAAATTTGAATCTTAAAAATTACTAGGAAAAGTAAAAGTTTGCCTTGTAGATTCATGGAATAAAAAAAATGTCTAAACTCGTAAGCTTAAAAATTTTTCAAAGGTTTCTCTGTTGAGAAGATACCTAGGATGGAACATTCGTCTTCCAGCATCTAATAAATGACGCGTGATATTCGACTCATCTTCTGGAGAAGGATAATACTTCAAACTGTCCGCCCATAAGATCAAATCTTTAGGAGTCCAATCGATGGACGTGCCGTGAGAAGACTTGATCGAACGAAAAGCGTCCAACATGACGGGCACCATCCGCGTGATCCAAGATTCAATCATAACGTGATCCCCTTTCAAAGAGTCTCTCAAGTGTAATTCTAAAATGGCTGCGATATTTTTCGAATTTGGATACCTATAAAATGAAAAATTCTGTTTCAACGTTAAAATATATTTTTGAGAAATGAGTATGTATGTACAAAGCAAATATAAAATAAAAATAATAAAAATTCAAATATAGCTGATTGGAAATAACTTCTTGAATGCATAGCTTTACATTTGAAAGTTTCAATTTTAATAATTGTATAACATTAAAAGTTCTCGAGTTTTGAAAAGCTAAATCTAATTGATAAAAAGTTGATAAAAATATACGAAACAAATTTAATATTAAATTTAATAATTACTTACGAAAGATAACGAGTGGATAGAAGAGCTTCTAATCTGGGATGCAATCTGGTCGTTGAATCAGCTGTGCATATAATGGTTAGAGAAACTCTAGCAAATTCCAAATCTTCTTCGTGAAATCCTCCTTCTTGGATCAATTCACGAACCAATTCCTATAATAAAAACTTAATTTTTTGCGCCTTGTTTAATTCCTTTATTACTTGTCCTTTCGTTAATTTTATTTAATTACCTGCAGATCTTTGGACGCAAGATGCAGATCTTCCAAAATTAATATAATTCTAGATCCATTTCTGGGTTTATACGTTCTTCCGTGAGAAGATGAATTTAATTGTACGCAGTTTCTTTTCAGTTTGGTCACCAAATCTTGGGGGCCGTAGAGAGATGAACATTTTATCAATGTCGATTGCTCGATGTTTCGTATCGAGGAAAGTATGACGGATATCAGGGCGCTTTTTCCACAACCCTCGGGTCCCCTTATCATTATCGATTGGTCGCTGTTGATCCATGGCAAAACAGACGACAACGCTCCTTTCATATCACCTGAATTACAGATAATATAAAATCACGAAGTGAAACAAAAGTTTTTATTAATCATGATCATTATTTTATTTAACAAAATATATATATATATATAAAACTTCATCTGATTAAAATGTATTAAATAATATAAACAAAAATAAGATTTGCTCAAAAGATTTAACGAGTTTAAATTAGTTAATGAAAAACTCTGTTTTATAATAAATTTTTATGAAAGTATAGTAGTGATAAATGAAATCTTAAAAACTCTTAAAAATCTCTCGATTTTCGAAGCCCTTTTTTAATAAAACTTAAATATAGTGTTAAATAAAGTTTCACAAAGAAATTTTACGTACTAATGATTCACACTATTTCTAGATTAAAATTTTAACAAATAATGTAACGGGATAAATTTTTGAAATGCATATTCATCATGGTTGCTTAATAACACAGTTTGATAAAATCTTACACATGAATTTTTCTTACTATTAAATTACCAAATAAAAAAGAATTATTTCGAACCCGATAGTGAAACAGGACCGTCATCGGTATCCATAGATTCGTCAGCGTCCCCGACAGTTTCCAATCTATCCGTATTCTGATTATATAATACAGAGCACGGTTTCTGCTGATTTGGACACCTGTAATCCCAAATGTAATAATAATAATACTCGTTTCCTGAAAAAGTTTCACTTAGCTTATATTTTCTTTTATATAATTTAATAACTTATTTTATCGATTCACGTGAAAAAGGAACGTAGACAGATTCAAAATTTAAAATTTAATATAAATTTTCTCACCAACAATCAGTGAGCTGGTAAATTAACCGTGCCAATTCATCTCTAGTGCTTTCGTTCCTTATTTGGCTGCATAAAGAGGCGAGCAGAGCGTAAGAAGCGGAAATACTGGTACGAGAGTTCTTCAAGTGGCAAAATGCCGAGTCCATTAAGCCAGACGCTGAGGAAACGTCTGCGTTGATCCTCAAACACTCCTCGACGCAGGAACAAAGATGGGAATTCGCGAGTTCCTTCGCCGCCTCCGGAAGTGCATTTAATCGTGAAGTAAGCAGCAAACAGCTGGAACTCGTTGAACCCAAATGAACTACCCCCAATCGCGATACCGTAGCGGGGCTGGCGCTGGCCAATTTGTGAGTCTCGAAGATGAATCTGTTTGGAAAAGATTTTTATGGATTTCTCTTTTTCTTTTTTAAATGAAATTTCTTTATTTTTTCTTCGAAACAATAAATTGAACATAAATTTTCTTTTGTTACAGAAAATTATTGGAAAACTGATATAAATAAAATACACGTAATTTATATATTTCACGTAATAGAAATGAAAATGTTCTTTTGTTGCGGTGTATGTTCATAATTAAAAATTTCTTAATATTCTACAGTATGTAATATTATTTCCATTTCAAGTTGAAAACTGTCAAAAAGTAATTCATTTGATTTATCTAAAAGTTTCAGATAAATTTTGAATCTAATTTTCTTTTTTAAATGTAACTTTGAATTTTGAAATTTTACTACTAAACTAAAATAGACAGAATTTTTAAATTAATATATAATTAAATTAAGCGAAATAAAATAATTTTTTGCGTTGAAAACTCAATGAATCAAGTTTGTTTTTCATAAATCACAAATTTTTTTTACAAAATTCAATATTTCAAATTAACACTTTCAGAAGATGTTCGATCAAGTTGATCGATTGGTTCATTCTATTCTATAAAATGCTTGCAATTTATGCGGATAGAATACAAATTGATAATTATGGAAGAAGAGAAGTTTACTTTGTCCCGCATCCAAGTTTCACGCCCACCCCATTGGGCAAAGTTAGTAATCGATTGTCATCTAAAGCAGAGTTGAGAGCTTCGGCCCAATCTGGTTCCACATCACCATTCAAAATGATCCAAGTTGTTGAATCTCCGGCCGTTGAAACAGCGTTCGATAACAAACCTTCCTTCCATTCTCTGATAGAATGAAAAAAATGATCAATTTTTTATAAATATATATACCTCGTGCATTTTATTTCATCTTGATGAATTTGATCTTAATAAAAGAGAATAATTAATTTACTGTGAAGAAGATGCGATTAATTATAGATAACTTCGATATTTCATATAACTTTTAAGCAATTCTTAATTAACATTGAAATTTTTTGAAATTCAAATCTTAATTTATCGAGCACAATTATGAACCGTTAAATCTTTTTATTTTTGATTTTATAATAAAAAATTTTCTTGCGTTATTAACTAATTAAAACGATTCTGCTATTTCTTTATAATAAAAATAATAAAATAAAGAACCATTTATTTATGTTAAATTACTACTCTACCACTAATTATATTTAAAATTATTATACGTGTCTTCTAATTGTGAAAATTTCTAAACAATCCTTATTTTGACAAATAATTATTCAATAATTATTTTCCACATTTTCTGCTTTCAAAAAAACACAGAAAAAAACATTCTTTGATTGACACACCAAATTTTATATCAAAAAGATTTGATATCGTAAATTAAAAAAATTAATTTGAAATGACTTTTTAATCATATCTTAAAATACGTTTTATCATTTTCGAAATACCTTGTTTGTGGGTCGACACGGCCCAAAAGTCTGGATTTCGGCATAGCGCCAGGAAACACGTGAAATTGAACAACCGTTTCACCGATTTTCGTCAGGGCTTCGAACAATAATTTCCTGATGGTCGTTTTACCACATCCTGGCGGCCCAACGATCGCCACGCCGGTTCTACTTTTCAACTGATCGTTCAGTTGAATGCATCTGTTCGCCATTTCCTTGCCTAACTCTTGCTCAGCGCAAAGCTCGAATAAAACGTTTTGCAAATCTTTCCTCTCGATGAACGTGGAGGATGATGGATCCGCCGTTGGGAAAACATCCTGTAGAAGTGAGAGGAATCGAGGAGTGTCTTCTTCTGTCAATTTTGGCAACGTTGAGGATCGAATCGCAGCTACTAATCTGCAATGAAAAAAATATATTAAATCAGCCTGCTAGATTGATTTGAATTTTTAACAAAAATTGTGCTTTCCAGGATTCATAGTATTGATTGATTAATATTTGATTAATATCAATTGGAATTAGAAAACGTATTCAGAGAACGTTTCATTTTATCCATTTAATTATCTCTTAAATTGTACGTTATTCAAAAAAATATTTTGATGATGAAACTTGTTGTTTTAAAGGGGATGACCATCAAATTTGTCTAGATTGAATCATTTTCAAAGTTTGTGAAAGTAGTCTTTCTTCAAATTTTTTAAATTTGATTTTATATGTTATCCTATTTAATTAGGATTGGATTATTTAAGTAATTAAATTAACTTATTTTGAATGATTTTAAAAAATTAATACAATTAAGTCAATTCGTTGATAGTATGTTTAATTTTAAATAGAAACATATAATTCTATTTTAAAGAAACAAAGGTTACATTGAAATTTAAAAAAAACAAACATTTCTTCGAATAATAGCATAATTGCATAATTTAAAAAAAAAATGATCCCAGATAGATTAAAACGAGATATTATAATATCTCTTAACTAACAATATTTTATAATGCTCGTATCACACGTCATCTAAGATACAAAATTTCCTTCCTTCGAAACGATTCACCTATCCAAAAATTTATTTGCTATAAATAACAAAATAAATCTAAACGACGAAATTAGACATATCTCACTTTATAATTAATCAAAAAAGAAACCTGCTAGTTTCATCCAAGTCGGTCCTCGTAGAAATGGCGTCGAGCACGGATCTAAGGGCCCTAAGGCCCCAGTCGTAGTGCGGCTGATTCGAAAGCAGTATCTCCGCGATGTCGAGCGTCTCCACGAGTTGCTTGGCGAGCGTCGAGGCATCCAGGAATCCAGCACACTCTAGCAACGCTCTCACGATGTCAGATCTGTCCGGATGCGCCATACCGATCGGTCTGAACAATCGCGCCAAGGAGTCCGGAAGCTTTCGTCGGCCGCCATACTCGGAGCCAGCGGGGTTCATCGTGATGAACACGCAACAATGTGGGTCCAGGTTCACCTTTTGATCGCCCAACAGGACCTGGGATGAACCATCGCGAACAGCTTCTTGCAGAGGCCTGACCAACATCGCCACCGCGCTAAGCGTTTCCTCTTCGAGGCGATTGAACTCGTCGAAGCAACCCCATGCACCGGCCTGAGCAAGGCCGCCCAGTATGCGTCGCATACTTCCGGCGTCCATTCCTGATGTGCACGAATAAATTATGATGTATTCTTTCTTGTGAAAAGAAATTTTCTTCGTGGCACGAAATTCAAAAAGATGGGGAAAGATGGAGAGTGTTTATTAGTTTTTAAGATGTTAATAAAAAATTTTCAGTATTATACGTTGAAATTATGTAAATACGATTAAATATAGTAATCATTGCTGTAAAAATCGTCGTGTTTAAATTACTAAATTTGATGTCTATAACTTTATAATTTTATCTTAAAATCTTTAATTGTTTCTATGAAAAAATTGTAAATCCAATATTTATTAAGAAATTCTATTCGAAGCGTGTCTAAAATAACAGCAGTTCTGTGCGTCAAATACGCTTTTATTTGCAAATTGGTTTTATTATTCTATTCTCGCCTTCTCGATATTTAGTGAATCAAATGTGTTACGAGCCAATAATTGATAAGATGAAAGAAATCAAGATTGTATAATTATTTTTTAATAATAAAAAATTTGTTCAGATTTGATATAACATTGAAAAAATAATTTCTATAAAATTTGAAATTTTTATATTTTTATTTTTTAAACATTCTTTGACTTTCTTCCTTAAGTTTATATTATATATTGTAAATTTATTGATATTTTAATAATTTTTTTCTATCTCAAATCTAAAATTCCTTTTGTTCAAAATTATTTTCATACTTTCAGTGTGAAACATTATTTTCCGAAAAAATGATTTACGGCGCTTTAAAAAATTTCTTCTTAAAAAACAAATAACAGATTGTTTAAACAATTAGAATTACATTTTTCTTAATATATACGCAAGCTTTGTTAGTTGGACCATACTCTTATAATATCAAATATCAATGAAATGAAAAATAAAATAACTTAATAAAAATAATTATATTACAAGTTACATTGAACAGTTGAATTAATGGTAAAAACTAATTTTCCAAAAGAAACTTTTAACGAAACCACGAATTCGTCGTAGATAATTTGAAACGCAGACGGAAATCGAAAATCGCGCAAAAACGATTTGGAACTCGTAAATGTCGTAAATGTTATTACCTTCATCACAATTGAAAACTAAAACGAGCCTGCCAAGAATAGCGCCAAGTGCCTTCACGCTCTCGGTTTTTCCAGTTCCAGCTGGCCCGGTAGGGCTGCCGCCTAAACCGAGTTTCATTGCCTGAGTAAGAGCCAAGAAACACCTTTCGGTTAATGGTGTTTGAACTAATCCCACCGCCGCTCCTTGATACTCGAAACGGTATAGAAATTCAGCGCCAGCGCACCGTATCACTGTTTCTTTGTTCTACAATTATATGGATATGGATAATATCAGACGAAGGATCCAATCTTCTTGATCAATAATAATAAACAAGTTTTAAATCAGGTTAACAGTCAAATAAAAATATCTCTTTTCGTTACTTAATTTCTTTGTAATATATTGTTTTCTTAATTTGTTTTTGGGCCAACATCAATTTATTTCATTAACTGTATGCGAAGTAACGTCGCCAGAAATTATTTCATATATTGAAATAATTATTATTTATGTAAGATTAAAAAACTTGAACTTATATTAGTTTATTAATATTCGATGTGACGCTTATTTATTAGGCAATGCGTTATTAATATAAATTAAGTTCGGAATGAAGCAAGATGGGGATAGTGCGAAACTTGAATTATTTACAACTTGATAAATAAAATTCATCTAACATTTTTGAATATAATTATGTGTGCAACTTTTAAAATTCGTATCAAGATTGGCTTTGTACGTTTATTTTTAATTAGAAAATAAGAAAGGTAAAAGTCAGTAGTATAATTTGAATTAATTATATTTTCCTTAAAATATCGTCTTGTCTAGTTTTACAATTTAATCCAAGTCACTTTGCAAAGAAACTTGCAAAAAGAAAGTTCATCGAAATATATTATAACTTCTCTGTTGAAATATATTTTCGTGTTTCCGTGATGTGAAAAGAAAAGTTTTTTCACGATGATAAATGTGAAATACCATTTGCAACGAAAGAATGAATTAAATTTTAATTATTGCAACTTTATATTCTCATTTAACAAGCAAATAACATCGCTTTATAAAATTGTTAAAAGAAAAATAAAAGTATGGAAAGTAATTAACAATTTTTCGAAATAAAATGAAAATATATACGAGCTTACTGTTCTGTAACTTCTTAATTGTCTCTGCCAAGTCCAAACAGTGCTTTCTTCCCGTTGTACAACACTTAAAAGATTCCTAGCTATCTCCAAATGGTGCACGGTATCAAGCAGGAGGCCACGTGCCTTCAATGCTGTTAATTTATCACCAGCATCCTCTAAACCCCTGTATCGAGCTCTTTGTGTTTCCAGATATTCGACGAGCTTCTTTAAAGCCGTACCACCTTCCTTCAAAGCTACCTCACACCTCTCCGTAAACCGAATCCTCTCCGACAGCAGAAGAATCTTAACGAATATTGAAAATAATTATTAATAACATGGAGAGAGTAAATTCGAACAAAATTATTCATCGTATATTTTTTCCAATCTACTATATTTCATTATTACAAGATTTTTCTGAGTTTTTCTTCATATTTTCTGCACACACGTTATACAACAACAAGATTTTATATTATCGATTCTGTTCTTTTATCATCGCAATATAAGAATTTTATTTTATTTCATTTTTTATTTTACTTGAGTTGGGTAAGATGACGGATCAGGTGTAGAATCAACCAGGCATTTATCCAAGCTTTGTCGAAGAGAATTTTTCATTCCCTCCTCGAGGTTGCTCAACCATTGGGGTAATGGATCTCGAAGATCGACAGGGTTGGATAATCGCAATACTTCGCCCTCTGGGGATACAACGGCCGTCAGTCCATTATCGTTTTTTATTATCGAGCCGACGCCTTGATATAATTTCGATAAATGAGCTTCCAGGCCTCGTCCGCTCGCCGACACTAATTCGAGAAGGTCTTCGTCGCTCAGGAAATACAGACGTGGATAGGACGATCGTTTTTCCTTTGAATCGTGACAAATTGTTATAATATATCATATTACGAAACGATAATTAAACAATTTCCTATTGTAAGTTACAATATTTAATTATTTAATTATAAAAAGACAAAATTTTTTTAATACCTCCAAATATTCGTCAAGGCTCTTTTGACATCTGTCGAGCAAATCTTTCAAACTCGTAAAAGACGGGAGAGGAAGTCTCCTCAAAGACGACACTCTTGGATCACGAGACACTTCGCCCATAAGATATCTAAATATTGACTTTATATATAAGCTCTTAAAAAATACTATTACAATTATAATTCTTATATCTGTTCAATTTTTAAATTACCTAAATTCTTTGTTGGCACGTGACCATCGACCAGTATCATTGGGAGCAGCGCCACCTTCGTAAACTGGTTCCAAATAGACCCACTTCCTCTGTATCGTACTCAAAAACTTTATTCGTTCTTCCACTTCGGACAGTCCAGCTTCGCATCGTGCAACTTTGGCTGCAAATCTTTCGTATCCTGTCGCCCCTTTCGCACCCTCCAATAAGAGTCTTAATTCACCTTTACGATAATAAATTAATCGTGTTCACAATTATGAAATAATTATTTTAAAATAATTGAAAAAAAGGTAAACACCTGCTCTTGCTAACAAACTGCCATACTCCTCAACGAGAAGAATACCGGTATTTTTACTGTCCTTCGATTGTTGTAGTTGAAGATGAGCCGACGCTTCCCAAGATTCCAGTTCCATTAATCCTTGTCGAATGCCGCTTTCTGCCGCTGCTTTTTTCGTTATTTCCTAAAAAAAAAATATTATTATTATATTATTTATATATATTTTTTTAATTATTGTTTCATTCTTAATTCCTTGTGATTTTTTTCTTTTTTTCTGTGCATTATTAATTATATCATTATTAATTATAATACAATTATAATTGAAGAACTTATAACCAAAATTTAAATTTTTCAGATAAAAATATATTTTAGTAATCACAATTTAATTCTACGAGACAAAAATTGTAAAGTTTGTTCAGCTGTGAATATACTTTTCAGTCATTATTCTTGAAAAGAAGATTTTAATTAATTACACTGTAAACAAATATCATTTTTTACATAAATTAAAAGATGTCTCAATTCCAACACGAAAGGGATCCACATTAAACGCGAGTTCTGAATCAAGAAAATTACCCTTCCATCAAATAATTACGAATGCTTTGATATCTTTAATAATTAATCAGATAAAAGGATTTATAAAACATCTCATCACCTTTATTTTATCGACATTCTCTTCGATCTTCTTCGCCGAACGAAGCAAATGGCCCAACGTAATGTCTCTCACGTTCCTGACATCCCTCAGACCCAAAAGTGGCATCAGTTCCCCCCAATGCTCCTCCGCAATCTCGTCGCCCCGAAGAAGCTGCAGCCATTCGATGGTCCCCCTCACCTCGCTCACCTTCTTACCAACGAACGTGTCCACCTCGAAACTATCCTTCTCATCCATCAATTGTTCCTTCAATTGATCCCTCAGTTGGACACGTATTCTATTTTCCCAGGAGTCGAGCCAATCGTGGAGTCTGGGTAATCTTCTTCTAGCCACTGTCCACTCCTCGTCCTCCTGATTCTTCAATTCTTCCATAAACTCAGCTTGGAAACGGCAATTCGACTCCTCTATCTCGAGCTGCACCTCCAACCTCTTCGCATTATCCTCGTTGCTCTCCAAAACATCGTCTATCTTCAACTCGATCTTTCGACAATCGTTCCTCAGAACGTCCAATTGTTCCTTCAAATACGACCATCTCTCTTTCATCGAAATGATCCAATCCAGGGTGAGGATGTCCGGTTTCGACGACCATTTCGCTTGCCACCTTTCGATCTCGTCTCGAAGGGCTATTGCCCTGTGACGAAGGTTCACCTTCGCGTCCTCCAGCTCCCGATCTATCACGGATTTGTAACGCTCCAAGCGGCCGGCCAGGTCCTGCCAAGCTGTATACGCTGCGCTGATACCTGTTTCCATGAATTTTTAATCATAAAATTTTTAATCATTGGCTTAAATTTAATTTTAATCTTAATTTTGAATTTTCATGATCGATTATGAATTATTTTTATACGATGTATAAGATGCATTTTACAAAAGAAAAAAGAAAAAATGGAAGAATGGAAATTTTTTAAATTTACAATGGTGGTCGTTGGAAATATTATTATTACGATTTTTTTTATATATCTATATTTTATTTTACAATTTATGATAGCTGTTAAGAGTAATTCAAAAATTTATTGTGATAAAAGAATCATCATTCGCCGCATCAATTTTACAGAAAATATTTTCAACGGGTCAAAATCGTTTTTAAAAATTCGCGAAGAATTCTTGGGACGTTCGTCGTTGAAAATTCATAGACGAAAGAATCGCGAAGCGTGCAATCTTTTAGCTTTCCTTCCGCTATCACTTATTCATTAAATCTTATAACGTAACAGATCGTTGAATTTTCAAGCAGCTACTATTATAAATCATAAAATAAATATCGATTTAGAGAAAATTGTGACACGAATATTATTGTAAACTTTAAAAAAATTTGTTCCGATCATTTTATTATGTATCGTTTAAAATTAATTAATTTCTAAATTTTCTTCCATTTTCTTCTGAAAACGTATCACGAACGAAAAGAACGAAATAATGAATGATTTATATATAAAAATCTAAATTATAAAAAATATAGTTTGAAGTATGTGCATTAAAAAATTGATGAAATTTTATAACATCAGAAAAAGAATTCCCCTTTATATTCACTAGTAATTTAAATTTTGTAATAAGAATATTCAACAGAAGTATTTGCACAAAACAATCGTTCTTAATCTTTTTCAATATCTGTTTCCACGAAGAAAATCGCTAGCTACTACTTTAACTCGGTTTTCTCAGTAAATTACGTTCTGTAAAATTACATATACGAATGATCAATACGAACGCACAATGAAATACAATTCGTGGAACTCTTATATTCTTAAAATTGTTTCGTATAAAGTATATTGATACTCGATAAGAGGTAACCAGAAGTAAGAAATAATTATTCTCTGACGTTGTTAAATATTATATTTTGTAACTTTTATTCAATGTAATATTTCAACTGAATTTTTAATAAATAAGTCTCAAATAAAAAGATACCCACTTCTTTCCATCAAGATAGATTTAAAATTCCACGAATATCAAAGAAGAAAACAATTAAAAATCTTCTAACATAATTAATGAGATATTTATTGTAAATATTCAAATATTTTTCACAAATCATCTTATGTAACATCATCGAGTATTTATAACAACTTTCTACTCAATCTTTAATTTTTTTCTTAGATAAATGTAAATGTTCATTATTGCATCTTCAAAACTGATGAGCATATTTTCTAACTCAATGTTGCCAAACTCTTATCCTTTTTAAAAATATAGAAACTGACTAGATCGTCTAATAAAATTCTTCTTCCAGTCCAACAATCGTTCGACAATCGCACAATCGCTCTACCTTCAAGTTTTTCGCTAGTCCATGCAGCCAACACTTTGGAAAAGCCCGCGACGGCCTCCATCTCCTCGGCCATACCGGAAGATTGCCCCTCGATTCTCGCGTGAGCCTCGTAGGCCAAGCCAACTTCCTCCACGTTTCGTGGTCTACGTTCGAGTTCCTTGGAGGAAGACGAGAGGAACTCCACGATGGAAACTAATCTCGAAGAAGCTTCCACCCTTAAGTCGGAGCACAAACGTTCCCAGTAACGACGGGAAGCGGATTCCAAGTCGTTTCTGGTTGTCGATGTGTCCACGTTGATGCACCAGATTTTCACCTCGCTGCCACGTAATCTTCCAACCTAGTTTTATTATCGAATTTCACGTGTAAATTAACGTTGGTCACATTAAATTTGGAAATGAATTGTACTTAATTGGCTCGGCTAACCTCTTGGGCCCATTGTTTCGCATCTTTGAACGCCCTTGTCCATTCTTGCGGCGATTTTCCTTTCAATCTTTTAGATTTGAAATATGTGATTATTAAATTTGATGCACAGTTTATATCAAAAGTTAAGTGGTAGCTTAACAAAAATATTTGAAAATTTCTTATTCGAATGAAAATTTGTGTGTATGAAGAACATAATAAGTCATACATGGAGTAATTTTCTTATTATATATAGAGACGAAATCTTTTTAATCTATCTTTCAATTTTATTATTTTTGTAAACAGAATGATGAAATATTAAAGTTTGAATATTGCGTTAATTGAATTAAATTAAGCATTGATTTCATTTTTCTTAAAAGAAAATATTTGACTGGAAAACATTGTTGAAAACTTTGAGATTGATTTGACACTTCTATTATATTCATTCCAACCTTCATTTGAACAAAAATTCTCGAATTAGATAAATTTTTCTTTAGGATGATGTTCAAGTATTTTCATGAGCATTTTCGTAAAAGACATCGTTTAAGAGTCAAAATTATGAACATGCACATTCTTTCTTCGGATGTGGAATCGGTATTACAATTATAAAACGGTATTTCGTAGTGAAATTGAAAATGGTGAGTTCGATAATTCAGTATCTTATTATATTTTAAAAGCATCCATATCAGAATGCACGAGCAATATCTCCTCCTTTATTTAAAAAAATCATTTAAAGATTTTTTAGAACAACACAATTTGGAAAATAATTCTATATAAAGTAAAAGGAATTACAATATTCTTATGATTTGATGATTGCACACAAAGAGTATAAAACATAAAAATACAACCAAAAGAAGATTAATTATAAAATTATTCGACATATTCACTCAAAAATCGATTTTTTGTGGCAAATACAAAAAAAAATACAACGACCTTTATTATTACCAAACATATTACACAAAAAAAAGAATGAGCGAATAGAAAGCTCTTTTTCAATTTGTCACATTTCTTGGAAAAACTTAAGCTCGATGAAATAAGAAATCTTTATGATTCTTTTTCGTCATAATGCATTAAAGGGGGGAAACGTTTCACTGCTTTTGAATAACGCGAAAGAATAAATGCAGAAACATTATTCATCAATTTCAAACAATTACCGTTCAGCGGCGTCGAATTTGGCAGGAGCAGCCAAGTACAACCATTTCGTTCGAAGTGTTTCCAGAGCGGAAAGCGCGATTTCGGCCTGCTTGTAGACACTGCCGAACAAATAGCAGCTCCTTTGGATCAGCCCACCGAAATGGGCCTCGGCCGCGTCACCGACGCCCCTGAAATTCATGGGGATCGAGAGGGATCGACGAATCGACGAGTACAACTTGGCGCGAATCTCCTCGAGGGACGGCCGCCATTGCAACGAGCCGTCCCGAAACGTCAGCTCCACTTTGACTTCCGGCAATTTCTTCAGCAGCGATGGCAACGCTCCTCTGAAAAAAGAAAATTTTGTTATTTCCGTTGCGAATATGAAAATTGGCCATCTCGCGTGAAACCGTTTGAATCTTTATTTGGTATTCAAGATAGAGAGAATTTTTTAGAAGGAAGCTCGCTTTTAAGGATACCACGGAGGAAGTTTTTTTGTTAATGTAGTGGATACGAGCTTCGTCTGAAAAAGGGGTGATATTTTAGTAAAAAGGTGATTATTCTATACTCGAGCTTTTATTTGAATAAACATGAACTTCATTTAATATGATATAGAAATGTATATTTTGTATCTTTAAAAATAATTAAAGTAATTATTATTATAGAATATTGTGAATATTTAAGCAAAATATAGAGAAACGTATAGAATGCGTATGGTAAGTAAAAGGACACAAAATATATGATATATGATAGTGGAGAAATAAATTATTTCTTGACAGATTCATATAAATAGAGTTTCTTGTGTAATTCTTATGTAATTCTAATTCTTCACAAATAATCACACAAAAATTTCTGGTATTCTTAATTTTCTCCACACAATTAATATTAATTTTTGTATTAAATGTTGATCATGTACATATTGTTTATATATTATTCTAAGGCATATTCTAAAATGAAATGATATTATTAAAAATGACTATATTATTTTTAAAATACTACACCTACATGATAAAATATAATTACCTGTAAGCCACGCCCAATGCTTTAAGCAATTGTCTGTCCCAATGTAATTTCCAAGCTTTCGTATTTCCATATTCAACTTCGACAGTATCGACGATCGTTCTCATGTTCATCAATGCATCTTTCCAAGCATTCTGATTCCCAATCATATTTACAGTCTCCCCTTTCAATAAACTAGACACCAAATCCCTTAATGAACTGTGCTTTGCAGCTAATTCTGAATTCTGTTGTGCGAATTTCCTTACCTGTTTCAATTTTAAAATGAAAATTAAAATATCATTTACAACTCATTCGTTATCTGCTTTCCGCATTATTATATTTATAAGTAATATTTAACACAAAGATCAACGAAATCATTACCTAGATTAATTGAACATACAACTTTATCTAAATTCGATATTTTAAACTTTAAACTATCTTTCTTTTCTTCTTAAAAATTAAACAAACTGTACCATATATCTACTACATGATAATAATGTTTCGAATTTTCAAGAATTCAAATTTTAATTATCGATCTCGAAAAAATTACCAATTCTTTCAATCTGGCCGTATAAGCGTCCACAGCCTGAGGATCGGACCAAGCAACGCCAGATTGTTCTTGGACAGCTCGAGCCAGTTCAAGCGCGGTCGTGAGCATTAATGGTCTTTGAGACGGCACCATACGATCGCCGATCGTGTTGTGAAACGTGGCGACCTGTTGAAGAGCTCTAGCGCGTCCAGCCAGCGTTCCAGCTCTTTCGATCAGATCCCTCACTTCTCGTGGAAGTTCGACCCCTTGACTCGAAAGTGCCCTCGCCTCTCTGATCAGTGTCATCAATCTTGGATCGTACGTGACCCTCATCATACTGGTACCGGTTAATTCCACCACCGCAGAATCGGTGCCTAACGTCAATTCCTTCCTGGTTACAGCGTCTTTCGTTCTTCAGTCTGGCGGGCAAATTTTTGCTTTGCAAAATTTTTTCGAACTTTCTCTTGATTTTGAAAAAAGGTTTAAAAGTGTTCGTTAATTGGAAAGTTTATTTAAAACGAAGATAATTTACAAATAATTCATCGATTTCGATGATCTTGATGAATGTTTTTATTATACATGATTTTCTTTTATTGTTGTCAAGTTTTAGTTTCTAAGTAAGTAAGCAAAAATTGTTAGATTGCATGAAGGATCTGTATCGATTCTCATTTATAGATAAACTAGATAAACAAAAAGTGAGGTTAGGTTTAAGTTTTATTTGGTCGCCATGAAACTACTAATTATATTATATTATATCGATATTAAATTAAGGTATAATATAATTATAGATAGATATTAAAAATGTTATTATAAAACAATATAAAACAATTTGTTCAAATATCTTGATGAGAAACTGTCAAACAATTATATATGAAAATGTTGTTCAGAATGACTTGACAATATATTTCAAAGTCAGAAAGAAAGAAAAATCCTTTTACTGAAAATATTGTTGTTTTAATATTTAGAATTCTTCTACATCTAATTTTACAGTATATGCATTACAAAATTTGTTATAGGAAAAACATATTAATTATAAAATTACCCAAGTGTCGACGAAACTTTGTCTTTTCCTTTCAACATCTTTCAAAGCTGTTGTTAATCTCTCTGAAATTTCTTCGTATCCAGGAAGATCCGCTAGCAATTCCTTTCCTAATTTATTTAAACTTTCTAGTCTTAATTCCGCCGATCTAGCAGCTTGAACCTCTTGAAGTATTCTTGGGTTGTCTAACAAGTCATTCGTGTCCGGTCCAACCAAGCAATTTTCTTCAACGACGTGAAACGTATGAATAAAATAATAAAAATAAACGAATTCAAGATCCAACATTCCAACAAAATTATCGTTAAAATAATTTAATCCTCAATTTCATCTGATTTTAATTTTAATTAATAAAAATTTTTCCACAAATGTCCAAATCATTGTGAATACAATGAATATGCTAATATTGAAAATATACAAACTTCTTTGCTAATATTTGGTTTTTTTTCAAAGTTTAATTTTCCAAGATTAAAGATTCTATACCAACTCCCTTGATTAAATTTTATAATTACCTATAAGATCTCCGTAAGCCGAAAGCAAAGTCTCCCGTTCTCCACGCAACACCCTTTTTAAACCGTCTCTTTTCAGCAGCTCGAAGTAGCGCCGAAACTCAGCGAGCAAAAAATTTGGAGTGGTGGCATCGGCAATTTGTGACTTCAATTTTAGCGCGACTCGTTCCTCGGCGGGTGCCAAACCCTCTTCAACCTTTCTCTTCAGTCGATTCCACTCGATGCCCTTGTCATCGTCGTCAAAGACCACTAACATGATTAATTAATATTAATCAAATAAAAAGTATGACAGTAATTTCGATGTATAAAACCAATGCGATATAAAGTACAATACATCGAAGTGTATATATTTATAGAAACAAAATGATTTGAAACAATTTAATTTGGACAGATTGAAAAATTATATCGCGATATTAAAACATCAAAAAATCCTAAAGATACCTCTGATGTCGTCGAGGCATTGCATCAAGTTATCCGTGCCAAGTCCAGATCTCTCATTCGATGTTAGCAATCTGGTTAATTGTCTATATTGAGCACGTAACTCGCCAATTTGCCTAAACAAATAACACGACGATAGCATTGAATCGAACAGGAAAAGACACGATACGAGGATACCTTAACCGTTTGCCAATTCTTGAACATCTTTCAGGGATATGATTGGTGCCCTTCCACGAATGAAGCGAATGATGAGGCCAAAACAGCGTAGTGAACTTTCCCACCATGTCTATCCATTTCTCGCATATCGCGGCACCACTCGATATTGCCTCGATTTTCACTCGATCGTCGCTAGTTCGAATCTGGAATTTGAAGATAAATTCATAATATCTGTAATAAAACAGGCTACGAATATTTATTTAAAAAAAAGAAAAAATCTACAGAATGATATGTGATATCACGATGAAAAGAAAACTTGAAATACTCAAAATATAATATCGAAATACTGTATCATTTTAGAAGAAAAGAGAAATTAAAGAGAGTTTGTTTATAATTATCTTCAGACAAAAGTGAAGTTTATAACTCAAAAAAAAACACGTAGAAATTCTGGCAAAGTTTGATAAGAACGTTATAAAAAGAAGAAGAAGAAGAAGAAGAAGAAGCACAACAGCTTAATCTTTTTACCTCCTCGATTGAATTTTTCACAAGAGACACCACCTCGTCTCCGATAACATCCAGAAAAGATTTCATACGTTGCTCGGTGTACACCAGATCCCCCAACTTCCACAAATCGTCGACGTAGCCGGACACAACTTCAACAGCGTCGTCCACGCTGATCAATCCATCGCTACGTGAAAGTGAATAAAGAAGGGAATATACTTAAATCGGCATGCTTAAATCTTTCCTGTTCTTTATGTACCAATTACGAGCGAAAAAGCGTTATCTTCGAAAGTTTATATTGTTTGAAGGATTAATGTGAAGAAGATAAAATTTCTCATTGCCCCTTAATTTTTATTAAAATTCGAAACGACTTCTTTTTATTATAGCACCTCGCAACGGCAGCGCGCTCCAACTCGGCTCTGATGCTCCTCAAGATCTTCACACCCTCTCCATAGATCATTTTGTCGTGCGATCGTTTCGCGCTCTCCCATATCTTCCTCCAATAATTCTCCTCCTCGTGCACGGAGCCCGTGGCCGACGACGAGCCGAGAAGAAGATTCTCCTCCAGTTTCTTCAAGTAGGACGAATCCAGGCCGGAGGATCGAAGCGTTGGCGCCCATACTTGACGGAGGGCCTCGATCAGCGTCGATCCTTTTCCACCGCCGGTAGTCGTCACGTGTACGAGATCGTGGAAATTCTTTTCCGTCACTGACGCCTCTGTTAACTGTATTAAATGTGTCCTGTAATATCCTTAATTATTTGTCTCGATCGATTTTCCATTAGAATCGAAAGATATTTAATTTTGAAATTTAACGAAAATGAATCGTAACGATATATATCTATAATTTGATAGTTTTAATTTTAAGAAATTATTTATTCGAAAGAGAGAAAAAAAATTTCAAAATTAAATTTCTATTATTCCACGAATATATCGTTCGTGTAAATTCGTATGTTTATAAACAGAAACTTTTTATGAAGGCATGTATTAATACATTTATATTATTTTATAAACATTTTATTTATTACGTGTATAACAATATTTTAGTTTTAGGCACATAATGTTAATTCTTATAATGATGAGATATGCATATGGATGCACAATTTGCATTCAATAATTTTCTGTTTGAAAGAATTGAAACTGAAAGTTCCAAGCTTCATTATGAATTCAGTTCTCTTCAATTAGAATTCTATGTAAACTTCATCATAAAATTAAGATGTCTTTTGAATTAAAGCTACGATTTTATAAGATATGAAACATTTACATATTTTTACAATTATTTCACACAGTTTCAAAAAATGAAATCTAATTATAAGATAATGTATTAATTGAATAATAATTTTTCGATTTTATTGTGAATTAAAATCACATTAATTCTACACGCATTTAATTATTATTTTATTAATTTTTATTGATATTGATAATATAAAATATAATAGCATAGATCTTTCAGGCCAACATGTGTGTTCTCAGAGTTAATTCTGTAATTAATTTTTCCAAGTCAATTAAATGAATCTATTAAATTTTACGTAGCATTTGATCCATAAAGAAAATTGTGAAAAAATTTATTTATTTGAAAATTATTTATTTGAAAATCTACTTTAAAATCATAAAATTAAAAAAAGTAATCAGTTTTATATATTTTGCAACGATAATGAATATATTCGTTGGGATATAAAAGATTCCAACGTATTATTGAAAAATTACATAAATACCGAGTAATACATTCATATTTTAAGGTTATGTTAATAAGAAAGAAATTAATCAACATCTAAAATAAATATCACAAATTCATCACTTTTAATAAATATGTTCACAATGTGTCACAACAACAGATTTTTATCTCCAATTATTTTCTTACCTTGAAGAAAACCAATGTGTTCTTGCCAATAGGCAATTCATTGCTCAACTTCAATTCCATTTTCTCATCCTCCTCATCAATTTCTGGTTGTGCACACAGAATTCTGCACGCGGCTCTGTCCAAAAAATTGTCCAGCACCGTCTCCTCGTCCCTAATTGTATCATTGTCTTTTAAAGGGACGCCGAAAAAGTGGCCTGCAGTGGACACTATCAACGATCTCCGTTTGTCAATCACCACCATTTTCGTAAATAGTGGAAATATTCTTTTAAAAAAAACGTTCTCGTTACGCTTCCATTGCGAAGTTTCCACGAAACGTTGGCCAAATGACCGCCCTTGTCGCGTGAGGATCGTTCAAGTTGTCATGACAACTCTTGGCCAACACAAACTTGCTGTCAGCCGATTCCACGTGCTGGCAGGATCGTACCTTTGTGTACTAAGCAGTGGTTGAAGCAATAAGGGCGCCATTTATAAGCAAACTTGTGAACTTGGAATGAGTTTTGCGTATTAAGCAATGATTAAAGATTAATGGAGGTATTATTTTTATTGTAAATAATTGTAAAGTTGAAATTTTTAAGAATTGAAAGGATCCTTATGAATAATGTAATAAGAAATTATAATAGAGACGTCATTTTTGATATAAATAATAAAACTTGGAATTTAAAGAAATTGAAAGAATTTTTGTGGATATTTTATTATCTATGATAAAATTATTTCGTGTAATAATGAATTTTTAACTTGATTTATTGAATCAAGTGGTTAAATTAATCTGGTTGATTAATCATCGATTAATTGTTTTTTCTTAATAGAAATTTAATTAAAATTACGTACAATATATATAAATATTGATTAATATTGATAAAATATTGTTGATATTAGATCTGAAATTGGATTAAAAAATTAATATTTTGTTAAAAAGAATGTTTAACAAAAAAAACTAATCAATTAAATTAATTTAATATATGATATTTCTAAAAATGATAATCATAATTAATGCAAAAAGAGAAAAAATCTTTATCAGGATAATCAAAAAATTTATTATAATGATAAATTATACTTGCAATAATTTACGAAAGTATACATGTATAATCCATTATGCTCTACGTATTCACAGTTTTATTGAAAACAAAGAATTGGTTTAAAAAATTAATTTATATATTTTTAATGAAATTTTATGAATATATAATTTTTTTTTAATTCAAAGTTTTATTACTTTTTTCATAATTCTGTAATAGATAAAAATCTCAAATTATAAAATGTTCAAAATTTATTTTAAAAATTCTATCACTCTGTTGTAAAAAAATATTAAACAAAATTGTATTTAAAATTTGATTAAAACTTTTTGGGATTTCATCCCAATCTCGAAAAGATGGGGATTCCATCGATTAATTTAAAAAATTGCTTCATGTGTAACTTATTAAGCTCTGCATACACAAAACTTTTATTAAAATCGGAATTTTTGACGTAAATTTCCGTACATATTAAATATTATAGATTACTTACTTTGAAAATAATAATATTTGCTTTTATTTATTGATGTGAATTATCGTGTAACGAATTTGACTATTACGTACGTACAAAAATATGCATCGATAATTTTTGATTGAGCATTGATTGCAATATCAATTACAAGATATATAATGCAAGTAGACAAAATTACGTCAGCAAGAAAATATGCGAGGGAAAAAGGAAGACATTGCTCGTGATTCGACTTCTGACTCAGCTTCTTGCTACTTTGTATTTCTAACACTTATTGATATTAATTTATAATTATCATCCTAAATCCCTATGATAATATGATTGTCGCAACAAATCTCTGCTTCTCATTTTTATTAAATTACACAATAGAATAATACAAATGAACAAAATTTCAAAATAATATAAAAGTAAAAAGAAAATAATAAAAATTTATTTGGAACAAGCTATTATAAACCTTCTTCAATATATCAATACTATAATTATCAAACCAATCAAATATATTTGTTTAACATTATTTGCTTTTCCAATTACTAAAAATTTGCAAAGCTAAAAATACAAATATAACATTAATATAACTAATATCTTATTGTATAAATATCTGAGCAATACTTTTTCCATACGACGATCTCATCAACGATTTCTCCAAAGGTTAAAACAATACTTTTTTCGAGTATTTCCACAATCTTTTTCTAAAATGAAATACAATACTACTTTTCTATACGTGTTCATAATTTTCGTAAAAGGCATTCTGAAGGCGTTTCAAAATGGCGTATGAAAAATCTTTAATAGCGCTCCAACGAAGGTAATAAATAAATAAGATTGTTGACTCTATTACCGCCGAATATTTGCATAATCAGATTATAACTGGCATCCACGCCTCGAATAAGCAATCAGAGTACATTCCGATGAGCGAGGCCAATTTATGCGCTCACGTATTAACTGTCCATGCATACTTCCGCCCGCAGCAAATGGCGTGTGCGATTGGAGAAGAAGGGAGTCGTGGCCGTTACCATTTGTCGGAGATATAAGTGACGTGGATATATCTGTTTACACGCCGTTTAATAGAATTTCATGCGTTCCTGATTACATCGCAATAGCATTATTTGTTACTGTAATTAATTAAGTAAATGATTCGAAATCATTGAATGACAATAGAAGCACAATTATCATTCAACATTAACGTTATAATGCGAACGTTAAATTGATGACTCTCGTCGTCGTAAATGATTTTGATGCAGAAATTTATTAAGAATTTATACGAGGAGAGATATAAAAATTATTAATAAAAGTTATGTTGAAAATATTTATTATTAAAGCAATGATTGAATAAGTAAATTGATGTAAATTGTGTGACGTTTTCGTGTGAAATATGTATATATATATTAGTCAATTACGTTTGACATTTAATAATTTTCGATATTAATATGCGTAATTACATGTTGCATATAAATACTTTCATTATCTTGATCGTTGTTACATTTTATACGTATATTTTTCTGTGTGCAGGATTTTGCATTTGTGCAATGTGATCATATCGATATATAAATTGTTGAGTCTTAAAAAATCATTTTTATCACATAAAATACTTCGTACTTTGAAAATATTTAAAATTGTAATTAAAAATTAAAATCTGTAATTTGCATTTTTTGATATGAAGAGAAAAAATAAAAAATCTCAATCGAATCAGGATTAATAAAATAAGTAGTTAAAATTACATTATTTTCATATGGGTTCAAATGCCACAGCAATTTTTTCACAGTGATGTAAAATTAAAGATACACAGAGGGTCCAAAAAGAAATCTCATCCGATGGGAAATCACTCGTCGTTGCATGAGGAAGTCGTATTTCTGTGTATAATCATTGAATGTCGAGAGATCTTCCTTTTATCTCATTCGCAGTTAAATTTACCAGACCAGCAAAAAAAAAAAAAAATCTTCGTTATGTGGAATATTTGCTTTAATGATTATACGTAGTTAAACCATATCGTCGTGTAATCGGTGACCATTCACATTTTAAAAATGCTGTTATAAAGTTTGTCACGGTTTTAAAAAAGAGTATGAAATTTACGAATTACTTAAAATAAATTGTACGAGAAATATTTTACAAAAGGAATTATGTATATCTCATAATTGTAATATTTGATATATATTTAAAAAATTATTTGATAACGTTTATTAACTTGTATAATATAATTGTACAATTTTAGAAATTACCTTAAATACGTTAATATTATGCAATATTATATAATAAATAATGTAATAATAGAAATGTATGTATTATAATATATTTCTCATTAGAAATTTATAATAATGATATCCTAATAAATATTAATTGAATAATATATTTTATTAAATATATATTTGAAAATTTATTTTCAGAGAGAGAGAAATATTGCTAAAAATGAGTTCCTTTATCTTATTTTCGAAACATTAAAAAATTAGAAATTACATACATTATTAACACGTTTGAAATTAGCAGATAGATGCGAAAATAATTTTTTCAAAGATCTTTACAAAACATATGAATAATAAATGATATCAAGAGTAAGTAAATAGGTTAATGAAGTCGTAAGTTTATGTAAATCTTTTTTATTATAAATAATTTAAAATAATATGTAATTTTATTTAAAACCTGTCGAATCAATCAAAACATATTACAATAAGTATGTTATTTCCAATTTTAATTATATTAAAGTATATATTCACATATAGATCATCATATTTAACGAGCATAAAGTGAATTATAAAATTTGAATATATGATATTAAATCATATATCCAAATATATTTCCTCTCATTCTAAGGGAATTAAAACATATATACACACACACACAAGATAAATCTTCTTATATCACGTTATCAACAACATTCTCCACTTAACCCTCAATAAAATCGTGTCACTTAAAGCTTGCATTCCTACGTGATCCTCTGCCTTTTTATTTCATTCATTTCATTTTATTCCTTTCTCATCCATTCTATTTTTTATTATTCTATTTCACTACTATCTTTATTACCATATAACTATATGGCTATATATATTATATAACTTCAAAAGGAAAATATAGTAACTTTGAAATCCCCATTTACTATTATTTGCAATTATGTAAAAACTATTGTAATAAGAATCCTTATTTATTTTACTATACCAAGATATAATGAAATAATTTATGATTTATTGTATCCAAACAATGTTATATTCCTTCAATATTTCCTATGACAATTTTTTGATACTTCTTTTTCATTTTTTTATTTCATTTACTTTGTATACAATATAATCTTTAAAAATAGAATATTACATTTATCTAATCCTGAAATGAATTTAATTGAATTTTTATACGATTGTGAAATTATTTGACTGTATCAAAAGAAGGAAACACTGTTTGAACTTTATTCAAATATCTAAATTATTGATGCATACCAACCTTCGATAAATTCAAACAAAATCTAAGTAAACGAATCTAAATAATCCAAATAAGATCTAAGTAACGAATTTATTAGATTTAAAATAATAATTATTCCCAATCCTATAGTAAATTTGAGCATAATTGAGCGGATTCTTAATACAAAAATAAAATTAAAAACAACTTTTGAAAAATTATAATAGCTACTAAATATGATATTTATATTATTATGATTGTAACTTTGGTTATTTCGATCGTCAAGGGTTGTTTTAAATTTGCGCATTTCCCTAATCTCTTAAAAGAACTCTTTAAAGATAAATATTAAGCACAATAATAATCACTCGTCACACACATTTTGATTGTCAATCACCATGATTTTTGTTTATACAAATGATGGATAAATTGTAATCGTATACCGACATGTCACATATCACTGTCATGTATGCATATATAAAGTCAATTTAAATTCAACTTATAATAATAAGAATCATCTTTTTTTGCGACTATTTCGAAAACCAAACACAAGCGGCGATTACATGCATATAGAGAGAAATGATTCTTGTTTTCCGTATAATTCATGAAAATTTCCCTTTTTCAAATTGTCGAAATTATCGAAAAACGTGTTTAAAAAGAAAGCAGATGCTGCTAATACACGATGTTGGACCATGAAAAAACGAACAATGAATCCGCTTCTACCGAGTGTCCGTTTTATATGCGAGAGATTAGACGCGGCCAAGGTTACATTTACTCCACGATTTTTCTCGTTGTTCGTAAGGAATTGGCAACGTAGCGATAGATCGTTGCAACCATGGTAGAATTCACGCCTCAGTCGAAGCGCGGACGTTGTTCCGTGCTCTTCCTTTTTCGTTTATTTTTCATTCGAATTTATTTCCACTTTTACAGGAAATCGGTTCACAGTGAATCCTGGTGAATTCTTTTTCTTCGAACGCCCAATTTAACGAGTCTACGATTGTCCGAGGTAAGTCGGATGATATACTTTCCATCCTTGCATCGTGAAAATGCAATGAGAAAAATGTTTGTTTATTTGTGAATTAAAGTTAATGGAAAATATAGGCTGTTTATTGTTAGATTTCATCGAGAGATGATTTATGAAATATTTATGGAAACTTATATTTTTATGAGCATACATAAGGCAATGGGGTCTATGGATATCTATAGAGTTATGGCGTTTATAATTATAATGAATATTTTGAATATTTTTTGTGTGTTTTTATATGTTTATATTATTGTATATTTGTGTTTATATATTTTTCAATATTTTATCTTTTTCTAAAATTCTTGATTACGTTTGTGGATCGATTTTAAGATTTATGATAAAAATAATAGTTTATTGTTTTCTTATTGTTTGTTTGGAAAAAATTTTTCATTTTTCTCGCATTGAAAATAAAATGGGAAATTATTAGAATGAATCTCATTCATGAAATGTCTCTAATTAGTAGATTTTAAGAAATGATGATAGGATCAATTACAAAATGAATTCCAAAAACTTTTAACTCGCCATTAAAGTTTTCAAATCTATTTTAAAATTCAATGAAAACTTGTTCATTAAATTTTTCTGTATATCAAAAGATAAAAATCTCTGTCATAATTACAACTATATAAAGTATAAATTTTTCTAATTCACGAACATTGTGTTCAAGAAATTATACCGAATTGAATCATTTCATCTTTTTACAAGAATTAATATTTTCATTTTCATATTTTTATGAGCTATTTTTATTAGCTATTTTTACATCATTGCTTATGATTTCCTCTTATACAAAAGTTTCACGATATGCTCCATTTTTAATATTTCTTATACAAAAATTAAGCTCCACAATATACCCCATTTTTAATAAAAAGTTATGCTTAAATGTGAGATTCGCGTGATACCCTCGATGTACAATGTATTTTCGAATGGTGAAAGTAGAGCATATCTGAAAAAGTGCTAATGTGCATCACGTAATGATATTATGATAAATAATCTCGCATAATTAATAGGATTGGATATTACTATTCATCAACTTGATAATCCTCCCACGTTTTTCGTTTCGTCATAAATAAATAATGAATCATCGATAGAGGAATCTTCAATTTGTTTGAAATGTCATAGCTTTTAACGATTTTGATTTTTTTTTTCACGCTTCAATCGTTATTTGATCTTTTCCTTAAGTTGTTCTAAATAATTTTTTTAATTTGATTAAAAAATTTTGTTTCCTCAAATTTTTAATTTTTCGAAATTTTCTTAAATTCATCATCTCAAATATGAATCAATATTAACACAGAAATTGTCAACTTGTTAAAGAAAATGTTTCTTCTATCATAATTTTATTACTTTTATGTCCCAATCGTTATAACTTTCTTTCTTTTTATTTTTAAACATTATTGAATACTTGTACTTGCAATAAGAGAAGGATTGAATATTTTTATCGTTATTAATAATAATTTTCGTGATTGAATTAATAATATTTTTGTGAAATTCTTCAAAATTGAACATGTACAATCAATTGACGAAGTTTTCAAATTCAATTTTCTCGAAAATTAATTGTATAAACAAATTTTATTGACATCGACAATCTGTGATACGATTTATACAATTGAAAAAATGCAGAAATTATCGAAATAAATATATACGAATACTTTTCAAATATGCTTTGTAGATTATAGACTAACATGTTTCTCTATATCAATATAAAGTTATTAATCTCTATCACATTGCATAATTATAAAAATATTATTTGCAAACGTTATTGAAATTCTTACTCATAAAGAAACTATTACTAGATATTTCTAGATAATATTCATAATACTATTATCTAACTACTTATCTACTAATCTTTATTTTTTCACAATTCACAGATTTTTTTCTTATTAAATTAATAATAAAAAATAAAATTTTTTAGCTTTTACGTTCAAAGTTCTACAACTTTTTTTAATCTTTAACTCTAAATAAGATTATCATAAATGGATTTTACAACGTTCATTAATTTATTAATACAGACTTTTATATAAATAATAAATACTCATATGTCAACATGATATCGACATCAATTTCGACTTCTTTCTCTCAAAGTTAAATAAAATTAATATTTTTCCTTAAGTTTCTTACGTAAATTTTATACCTTATTTTTAGAATCTATTTTTAAAATCATTTCAATTCGATTCTCTCGCGAAGAAAAGTTTCCTTGAATCTAATTTAATTATTATACGCGATATTTTACAGGAATAACTTTCATAAAAAAAAAAAAAAAGGAGAGAGAGAAAACAATTTGAGTGGTTATATATTGTGAAGTCGAAACGATATTCGACTTGCAATTAAAATCAGTATTTCAATTGAACTTTCTCGATCAATATCCACACACAATTTTCATGGAACAGCGAACTTGCAGTAGACGATTCAGAAAATTTAAATGGGACGTGAGAAAACAAGGAAATTGTGTTCTCTCCAGCAAATCGTTGCCAGCCATCCGAAACCTTACCGAGGGCGGTCGTACGTTCATTCTATTCAAGGAAATGAACACTGAAAATGAACTGAGAATTCGCAGTCGTTAACACTTGACTCTTGTCGTTTCTTTGACTTAATTAATAATTACGACGTTATAACGGTATAACAGAAAAAAAAATTAAAAACTCAATTGCCAATGATACGTTTGCAATTATATTAATAATAACAGTGATACAATTAAATAATTATTATTTTCGCACAATATTTATAATTTGTTAACGATACGTTGTTGATCATAGTAATTCAAAAAATTCGATAAATATTCTTTTTAGGAAAAAAAAAATAGCATTCTGATTTCCAATCATGTTTGCAATCTCTTCTTTCAATATTATAATTAGAATTATCAAATCTTTTAATAAGCGTTTTATTGTCAATTATGAATTCTGTTGTATAAACTTACTTGTTTCAATTTAAATGAAAATTAAGTATATACAATTATTTTTTAAAAATGACTAAGTAATTTTTTAAAAATGACAAGATGACCAGTGTTTTCAATTTAAGTGTGAAACTGAATCTTCATTATACAAATGTACTATTCAGCATTTTGTTATCCAAACTACACTACACTATCTCTATTCCCAACATAAACATATGTCTTTTACTACAGCAGAGGAAATAGAGCTTAATTTCAAATTTGATGAATATATTTGCATAATATATATTATACTATTGGAACAAAATTGAAAATACTTAAGAAATTAGAAAGCAATGAGATTATTATACAATTAATATATGTATAATATTGAGAAATCATCAAATTATTGAAATTAAAAAAGAAAGGGTATATATTCCTTTATATATTGAAAAATTTATACTATTGTGTTAGATAATTTTATAATAAAAATCATCTTTTATATAATTATCTCAATTTTATCATAAATAAGCATCTTAGAAAAATCTAAGTTTCAATTATTATTTAATATTTAATTAAGTTTTTGACTAACTAAATAATGATTGAGAATACGATTATTCTTCAAGCAAGGATAAATAGGATAGGAGAGTATAAAATTTCTATTTAAAAGAATTTCTATTTAGCTTTCAAAACAGAGTTATATTCATCAGAATATTTCTCTTTCAAGAGAAGCTTGAAAACAATGATTTGAATTCAATCGTTGTTCTTTCGTCTTATTTTAAGCCATAGAGTCTGCCTGATCCCATTTCTATTATAAATTAGTCATTATTCACTACTACAAATATTATTATTAATACTACATCTTATTATTAAAAAATATTTAATCCAAGATTATATTTTCGAACAAGATTTCCAAAAATATTACATTAATATTGAATTAGGAAGGTATGTCACTACTTAAATCTTTCACTTCTTTAACGAAAATGAAAATTGTTTTAATTTCTATTAATTATTTCTTTAGAAAATATAACAATTATCTGCACAAAACTCGATTAATTTGATGTTATTTGAAAGACTATTTAAATGACAACATAGCAGAACTGAAGCAATAAAACTGATTCTTCGATCTTGACCAACGTTTGCGTAATCATTAGTTTCATTTATTGAGTTAAAAAAAAACGACTTTCCGCGTGTTTAACCAAATAGATGCTGAAAGAAATGTGGAATCATGTCGCGCAATTAGCAATGAATCACACGTCGCGCATCTAAACGATCGTAGGAGAAGTTGCGTCAAGAGCTGAGATGTAGTGTAGAATTTATTGTTTTTCTTGTAAACAGAAGAACAGAAGGAATTGCAACGAGTGAACTTTTTTTTTTTTTGAAGTTAAAATAGATCCCAAGATCAAAGATAAAGATCTAAACAAATTTTTCTTAAATTTAAGATATTTATTCTAAATTGTAAATATATAGAATTATATACGTTAAAGTCGGTGAAAATTTTATCAAAATACATTCAAATATTAATTCTTTGCAACAACAAACTTGTAGTTAAAATTAAATTATATTAAACTAATGTTGTTATTAGTATGTTGTTATTATTCAATTATTACTATTGTTAAAATTCTTGTGAAACAATTCATATAGAAAATATCAAAACATATCGATCTCTTCGAATGATAATGATTAAAAAGTTGTTTGAAGAATTCATGAAAATCGTTAATGATTCGTTTAAATCATTTCAATTAAATTAATAAAAATGAACTAACTAAAATTGCAAAATACTTTTTATAAGCTAAGTAAAATTATTCATTGCTTATTCTTTTCTCATTGTTATTGCTATTTAATGATCACTTTTTCAGGTAACACACAAAAATGAATAACGAAGCGGCCAAAGCACGACCAAGCATCATTTTGCTGACATTGTCAACTATTACGCACATCCTCTTATTAGCACCAGTAATATATATACTGGTTCTGTCCTTTCAACCTCTCATGTTTCTCTCCTGGCACGTTATTTTGTCAACCTTGGGAGTAAGTAGCCGTCTTAGCCAACACTAATTGCACAATGTAGTGAACTAATGAAAACAGGTGAATCAGAAATCTAGGTGGTTGACTCTTACATTTGTAATGGTAACCCATTAATATCTTGAAAAGTTTATCGAACGAATAATATTAAGCAACGCGATGAAGCAACGCGATTGATTCTCGAGAAAAATCGATAAAACTGCCTCGTTGAAAATTCTCAGCAATAGCTCCTTTTATTATACCTGAAATCTAATCTTTGTTTTGTCATATAATAATTTTTTATTTGAGAAATGTAAATTGGTATTTTTTTTTTTCAATTTCTAATCGAATGTTGGAAAGGAATAATAATATATAACTTTGCAAAAAGGAAAATGAGAACGTTTGTTGATATCAACAATGTTTCAATCGAAATTAATCCTCTTTTGATTGATAAATCTCCTTTTTACTTGAAAAGAGCTAATTAAAAAGATGATTCGTGGAAAGTTTCGAATATGAAATATCATCTACTAGGAAATAGGAAGATCGTTTATGTGGATAACCACAACTTTTTTCGTTTTTATGAAAGGGTGATCTATGTTTCATATTGGATAAGTAACGAAGAACGTAATATTAGATTGATTGAAAGTTGTTAAATTTTTCTTGTAAAAGAAAATCCAGTATACCATAACTCAACTATTTTTATAATGATTTAAAATTAGACTTATAAAATTTTTGCTATAAATTGATCAAATATATTTTATGAAAGTAAGAAATAATAGAATAAAAGTAACTTTATTAGATAAATTGATAATTTGAATCTCTGTAAAATGTTTGATTAAAGTAATATATTAAATATTGAAGAATATCGAAATACTTCTTTACATGTAATATCTAAATAGTATTAGACGTATCATTTTCACAAATTGATATATAAAATTTTAAAAATGATTCACTATTAAAGTGTCTCTAATTATTTTCCTTGTAGTTATTAGGTTTGAGTTTAAAAATATCTTGATGTTATGATCTAATGCAATGCATTTAATCCATCTATAAGATATTATGTGTAAATGGATAAGAAAACACTGAATATTTCTTTATATTTTTAAGATACAATATGTATATAATAAAATTGCAGGATTGATATCAGATTATTTGTTTAAAAAAGTTTTTTAATATTTTTAAGAATTTCGCATGTAAAAGACATAAAATGTAGTAATGATTCAAAGACTTCATTTAAGTATCTCAACTGTTAGATCATCGTTGTATTTGGAAGAATGCTGGCTTCTATTTATTGAGAAACGCATTGAATAATGTTTCTTAAATAAATCAAATGTGTGCGAATCAAGAACACACGGTATATAAAATTAAGCGAAAAATAAAGTTTCAATAAAGCAAAAGAAAATCACCTGATACAAACGAAATTGGCATTGATCATTGAAATATTCCCTAGAAAATAGAGAGGAAAGGAGTATCATGTCAATTCATTATCTTCTTAAAACACTGCAGGCATTCACACATACACACCGAATTAAACCGAGAACGAATTCATCGTTGACCTAGATCGACAAATTGATTGCAACATTCCCCGAGTTAAATTAAAACGATCACCATTGTTTCCAATTGCTCTGCCCATCAAAAAATCCTCGAATAATAACAAATATTCAAAAAAAAAACAATTAATAATTCTTACTATTGCTTAGAATTTTTAGAATTTTATCCCAATATTTCATTAATTAGCTTTTTAAAGGATCAAATGATTAAATTAAAATTCATGTATAGACACAATGATGAATTTATCATTATTCATAAGTCATAAACTTTTCCAAAAAACTTAAAAAATCTCTAGAGAAAGCATCCCAACAACATCAATGTGAAATATATTCCTTTCAATTTTTTACTAATGATCAATATTGATCATTGATTCATGTTAATTCTGTAACACAAACATGATCAATATATGCACAAATAAACAACACAATAAAGATACTGACATTGTTATAATATCAATATGTTATCTAATTTCTTTAATGAAATTAGGTGCAATGTTATCAATGATTATCTTCTTGAAGAATGAAATGAATGATTAAATTAAAATTTATTTATAACAGATAAGTTCATTAATCAAGATTCAACCAGAAAATTATTTTCCCAAAAAAAATCTCAATAACATCAAGAATGAGGAATTCTTCTTAATTTTTTAATAGAAAATTCTTAGAGAAAGTATCCCATCAACATCAAGAATGAGAAATTCCTCTTAATTTCTTAATAGAAAATTCTTAAAGAAAATATCAATATGAAAAGGAACGTGGAATTTTTTAATAGAAAAAAATCTCTAGAGAAAATATTCCAACAACATGAACAGAGAATATAGAATTCTTCTTTTAATTTTTTAACTATACAATAGTCAACTGATCTACTTAATAATCATGTAATCATGATTAATATGCAAAAATATTAACATCGAAATATCAGGCTCTAAGTGAAATTAGCTACAATGTTAACGAAACGTTGGGATAAAATTTCTACTGTTGAATTTCATTATCACGCTCTAAACCAATCTCTTACAACAATTATAAACAATAATAATTTCACAAAACAAACCGTGAAATGCCACGAATAACAATTTGTCTCGTTGACACAGGTCGGACTTTTGACAATGGAGGGAGTGTTCTGCGTTTCTGGCGACGCTTTCATGAATTGGAAGGTGTCCAAGATGAACAGAGGAATGATTCACTTGATCCTTACTCTAGTAGGATTAGTGCTGGTGTTGATCGGTCTGATCATCATCATAATCGCCAAGGTAGAATACAAGAAGCCTCACTTCGTCACGCCACACGGGATTGTCAGCTTGATCAGCATCATCTTAGCGGTTGTGATAGCCGCGTCCGGCTTCGCCGTTATCTTTGACAAATGTCTGTATCATGGTTGCATGAGACCAGCAATTCTGAAAATCTTGCATTCGTTCGGCGGCATTTTGGCCACGATACTCTTGCTAGCTGGCCTGATCACCGGGATTTACACATTTTGGTGGCCTGGTACTTGCCTTGGAAGAATCCTCACGGTCGTGTCATTCGTCATTGCCGCTTGCTATATCTTTTTTAAGCCGAGTTTGGGTATCATTTCTAGGATCAAAGTGCTTATTGCAGGAACACCTGAAGGCACGAATGAAATTGAACAATGAATATAATTGATTGTGATTTTGGAAATGATTGTTTCATTGTTTGATTCATTGTTGATGATCAAATTGGATTGGATATTAAAATTTTCTATTGTAGCTAATTATACAAGGGATTGTCTTATTTAAAATAAGATAATTTAATTCTATCCTTTTGTTGTGATAGTTCTGAAAGATATAATATATATATATCTTTTTTTTTTGTTTTTGTTTTTCATGCAGTTTGAATTGTATAAAATGATGAATATATTAGTAAAAAAAAAAAAATATATATTTTGTACCATGTTCTTTTCGTCAGATTTTAAAATCATCATTATAATGATATTATATTTCTGCGCTTTGATATAATATTAATATATTATGCTATGGTAATATTATAGTATAGTATAATATACAGCATAGATAATACTGTAGTAATGCACTATAATAATAACATCGTGTGCTATATTACACAGAATAATATAAGGCTAATAATACAATATATTCTACAATATTACACTGTTTAATAGAGTAAATGTAACAACGTGCATCGTACTATAATTCAATAAATTGTTATAGTATTTTGTATTGTATTATTATATATAATTATTCAATATAGTACTCTAACATTAGTATTATCTAATGCAGTATAGTAGATAGTTATGCTATACTATAAAATCTCTGTATATATGATATAGCATAATATTTTTAATATTTAAAACAGAAGGAAACGTTTTCAAACTTTTATATGAAATTAAAGGGCTTAAAGAAGAAGAAACAGAGAAATTCTCAATATTTAAATAATAATGTTGTTGAAAATTTATAAAGTAAAGTATAATGTGTTGCAAAAATATTATTTTATCAGAAAATTTTTTATTTTGAAAAATCTGACTTTAACAGAAAATTTTTGTGTACATAGAACATAGATTATTTAATAATTTATTTTTCTTGAATTCGAAATTAATCTTTAAATTTTTATTATTTCTTTCTTATATATAATTTCAATGTTGGAAATATTTTTTCTATAACAACAAAGTTGTAGAGCATTGAATATTTTACGTGAAATAATAATTTAATTTATTTTATATTTTACGAAATTATTTTTAAGAAACGAAAATAGTATTGAAACTATACATTTCTTCGAAGTAATATTCCATTTAATAAAAAAAAATTGCTACATGTATGTGTAAACTATTATAGTGTACATATTTTAGTTTACAAAATTTTATATTAAACAGAATTATTATTTGTTTTGACGAACACTTTTCATGACAATTTATTAATTGAATTCACATAACGCGTATGAATACGTTTACGATTGGCTATATAAATTTTCACTTATCTATTGACAAAAAGGATTTTATTTTTTCAGATTAATTCAGATTAATGTACAACAATCAATATCAAAATTTAAAGTATATATTCAAAAACATAATTGTATTCAGAATTTGTTTAGAATCCGTTCATTTGGACGAAATTACGATACTTTTCGATCAGGATTGCGATAATGACAGAAATCGATATGAAATGTCATTTTTATCAGACTATTTCACGTCATTTTGCATTTCTTCATCGTGCCACGTAATTAAATAAGATCTGATCTGAGTTAATCGAAACATTAGTGGTCGAACACGTGATCAAAATTCTTTTTAAGAGAATATTGAAAATATTTTCACAAAGTTCGTACTTTTTAGAGGAAGAAAACTTTTTAGAACTCAGACGCACATTCCGTCCTTCAATGATTTTTCAAACGATCATTGACAAATGTTGTAATTCCTTATTAGATAATCATTGTAATATTTAAGATATTTAAATAATTCGATTATTTCATATTAAAGTAAAATTCAATTCAAATTTTGATCTATGAAATTTGATGCAAAGAATTGTAAAATTTCATCAAAGTATAAAAGAGTACAAGTTTAAACTATATTCATGACAATTTGAATAAGCGATATTTACTCCTCTTTAGACAAATTGAATCTATCTACGTCCAAGTTTAATTTCATTATTGTTCCAGAATCTTTCCTAAGAATAGCGTTTATCAAATCTTTTTTAAAAATATTTTAATAAAAAAAGAAATTCAAAACTTCACTTAAATCATGGCGCTCGAGTCACCAATCCAATTTACCTACAGCGAATCAATCAAGAAGTAAGATATTTGAAATTAAATATCGCAATGCAATAAATTCCCGATGAAAACAATATTTATTTCACCGTTGCTGTGTTCATCGAATCGTATCATTGTATAAAATAAAAAGAGAGAAACGAGATGTCGATACAAATGTACGAAAAATGCTTGTATACTCATCGATAAAACAGATGTATATATCTTTAAAAATGTACAAATAAGTATTTATAAAAGAATGTTTAATTGAAAAAAAAGAGATGCAGATTTTAATTCTTAACCGTTTGAACGTTTAATATTAGTTAATATAAGCTTAAATGAACGAATAGAGAACGAACAGAGGTGGTGGCGTTATCGTCAACCATATATATCAACACTTTATTAATTTTACACACGCATCATATACATATACATAGAATTTACATAATGTATATATCTTTCGCAATGCAATGTACATGTATATTAATACAATTTCTTATTCTCATATATAATTTCATCGCCTCTTAATAAATACCTCTCTCTAATTTCTCCTCTTCTTGGACATTTTCTTAATTCTTTCTAATCAACGTACGATAAACATTTCGAATCGAATTGATCATTTCGTGAAACTTTCCTTTCTCTCGTAATTTTTTTTTTTTTTTTTTTTCGTTTTATGTGAAACATCATTTTATATCAATATGTTTTACATCGTTACATTTATATTATTTGCTTTTGTATACGTATATACACGAATCGACCAAAAATTTGAAATCGACATGCATAAAACTTAAGAATCGAAAAAAAAAAAGAAATTTATGTCTCTGTCAAAATTGTATAAATGTAGAAAAGAATTTCAATAACACGATTAAAAAAAATTGGTATTGGATATTGTGCGTAGGAAAATAATTCTAAATTTTTGGCCTGTAGTGTATATATGTATATATATATATATATATATATATGTATATTTATACATGCATATGTAAATAAGTACACATTTTGGTTTAAATTTTCCTTTTTTTTTTACGACGCTCTTTTTATAACTTGACTGTCTTAAAATTATATGCACTCTTTTTCTACTTCTGTTTGACATTCGCTACACTTATATCTCATATGTGTCTCTCGATCTCGATTGAAAATCAAATTGGAGCATGAGTTTATTCTTATATAACGATTTAACAATTTTTAACAAACAATACGCTAATTTTTAATAAATCCTTTAATCGATATTAATTCGAGATATTAATTATAGAAAGAAAACACTTGTTTACGAACTTGTTGTTTGAGATTAAGAAATCGAGAGACACAATGGCGTGCCAGAATTACAACTTTTCAATATATAATTTCTCATAGATTCCAATTTAATTCTATTTTTCTATAATCCAACATTTTTCACCGACGTACAAAAATCTGTTTTTATTAACGAACAAATTATTAATCCTATCGTCTCCACGAAATATAACACATCTTTTATCACCTACGCTATCCTCGCTCTCGAACGCTTTTCTCTTTCTCGATTAGCTCTAGGACACGTTACTTTGTACTGTTCGCTCTACTGGTTGCTCTTGGTGACGTAAAATCCGCAACGTTGTTCGATAAATTCGAACGATATATCGAACGCAACAAATTAAAACAATCTGTTTTGTTTAATCTCCTTTTTATTTTAAATGATTTAAAAAAAGACAAAATAACATTCGTAATAATAACAAATCAAATTATATTATAAGAAATAATTTATTTAAATATTTTTTAAACTTTTTTTTTTAACAAATAATAGCTGAAATTATTAAAAATTATTGCAAATGCAAATCGATGAAAATTGTACAGAAAGCTTCGAACAGGCAAATAATCGAACTTATTCGCTATAAATCTTTAATTACACATCATGTATAACAGTATAATCGAGTTTAGGTTTATTTATTTCGCACGAAGAGAAGATTAAAATTAATATTTACAAATAACAAAATTTTGAAACGAGTATTCGCATCAACAAGATTTGAAAAAAAAAAAAAAAAAAAAAGAAAGAAAAATTCAACAAAAATGGAATTACATTTGAAATATGATCTTCTAATTCTTTCTTCTCATTTTAATATCGACGTATTACCGTGTTGTTACTGATAATTCTACGTCACCTAATCTTAACCCTACCTAGGACAGTCGACCACGTGGCCTTAGTGACCGGTTTAAACCGGTAGCTAATGCTATTATTAATAATTATTATTTAATTATTATTATTATTATTACTCATTATTTTGTAACATAACTTTTTTCCATAATAATAAATATTGTTATTGTTGTTGTTAATGACGCGCTAAATCTTTTTTTCTGAGTCGGAAGA